CTTCATTACCAATATTATTTTTATACAGACAGTCCTCAACACTACAGATAATGTCCTCATACGGTATTTTTCGCGGTGCTATTGCGAAATTAATACCTTTTTCTAAAACTTTTATTGTGGCGTCGTCCAGTGTTTGTTTTGATAAGTTGTAGACAGCGCGTTGTTTATGATTCGTGTCTGTGGTCCACGATTTCGTATGTTGGACATTTGATTTAGTTGTTAATTTATGGTATTTATCAATGTGTTTATTTTTGCATTCATTGTATTTAGTTGTTTCGCGTTTATCTAAAGTTTCCATGCAATTTTTATAATCAAATGTCGATAAAACTGTCTTTAATTCACTGGACGAATTGTCTATGGTTTTGTTTATGAAATATAGATCGGTACGTTTTTGCTGAATCACCGTTATTAACAACTTTTTTACTAGCCTGATTTAAGATCTTGGCGCTTCCTCGAATGTCTCTTTTAGTGGATATCTTGACACACGTAGGAATGAGATTATGATCTCTGCATCTCTTCAAGAAATTTAAAGCTGTTATGTATCTTGCGCGCTTGGTCTTTAGATCTTCTAATCGGCGTATTTTATTTGCTATTTCCAGTCCGTACTGGTTAACATAATGATTTCTTATATTTACGCGAACATTGCACATGATTAAAACTACTTTTACGGATTTTATCGCGTTTATTTTTACTTTTTATTTTTAATTCCCGACGTTTCGGGCGCTTTCCAGCACCCATGGTCACGGGGGACTGAGATGACTGACGTCCCGATGTCATTGTTAAACCCGGAGTACCTTCAGCTTTTTTAATTATTGTTTATGGTCCGATCTATGCAAAATGAACTGACTATGGCCTGAGGTCTTGCAGTGGTATGCTTGGGTTTAGTTTTAATTTTATTGATTATAGGATCCCAAGCAGGTGGTAGTACCCAGCCTCCTTCTCTATTGAAATTAGGATGTTTTTTAATTTCAATAGCCTCACGTATCATCCTTGGTAGGAATCGGTGTTCTTTCGCGAGGATTTGTGGTCTATCAAATCTGATGTAATGGTTGGGGCCGTCTAGGATATGATCAAAAATTTATTATTTGACATAAACAATCAAATTTCGTATTTCCTTAAATCACCATTGTTTTTATAACTTCAAACAGAAAGATTATAATCGCGCGCAAATTTTTAGTTGGTGCCATTTTTACAAAAAATGAAAAACTAATTTATAAAATTGTATTTTTTGATCCGTTACATTCAAAGTATAAGCTTTAAAAATTAATAACTAGGCTGTTAGTTCTTTTCCATTTTTATTAAAATTCATACGTATTAAAATTCGTCTCTAAACTTGTAAACACATGACGTACAATAGTAAATATAAACTACTAATCAGAAATTTAAAAAATGCCAAACAAGATGAGAAATTAACTCCCACATACAGCGAGTATGTCGTCGTAAATATGTCGTCCAAAATCGCCAAGCTTCTTCGGTGAGGTTGTTAAGATTGTATTAAGCCAGAAAAATTTACAAATTCACGCTTTCTTTTTCAATTTTCTGGATAGGTGTGTAGGTAAACTAAAATATTATCTCAACCAAATCAAACCAAATGTCACTCAAATCGTACGTGAGACCAGTTTACGAGAACCAGTCATGTCCATATAAAATATATGTATATTTATATTTTTTCATTTTGATTATTCATAAAGTATACAAAAGTTTTGGGAGTGTTTTAATAAACAATGATATTCTGTTAAAAATACGGTAATAAAACATTTATCGACCAAAGCTTTGACCTTACGGTTACGAAGTACTTAAGGCACCATAAAAATGTAAGTAAATCCGCTAATAATAATTTATTTTTGATAATCTATGCAAGATTCATCTTAATCTATACAAGATTAATCATTGTAAGATTCGAACCCACGCGCTCCGTCGCGGCTGACACCAGTCTAACCTTTAGGCTAATTATAAGCTGCTGTAAGTTACGAAATCACCAATCATTCAGAAATCACAAAGCACGCGCAAATATAGTTTGGTCGCTAATGATTATGATTGATAACTAATAAAAATATAAAGGTACTTCAACAAAGACAACAAGTATGCGTTAGTTATTCTAACCAACTCGCCTGCCAAGTGTGGTAATTGTGGTAAAATCCCCCGAATATAAACCGTTCGCTTAGATATGGTCGCCATATTGTCGCGCCACCTTGGCACTTGCCGCATCTCAAAGGCGCCGCCGCAACATCGAAGGTCAGGTTTACCTACCTACCTACTCATATTTTTCATTAAGTCTCTTTGCTTACTAACTTGTATTTATTATTTATATTTATATTTTATTACAATAACCATAAGAAAAAAAATCTATTTTATTATTAGAAAAGGAAAACGTTTAACAAACACAGTAAAAAAACTAAATAAAAAAGGAAAATAGTAAGTGTGCCTGCGGGTGGGTGTACCGACACTATCTTATTGAACAGACTATACAGTATATAGGGAGGCCAATGTTCAGCGGTGGGACTTTCATAGGTTTTAATGGATGGATATATATCTTTGCTGCTCTGAACATTGTCTTTCCGCATAAATTCTCTTGCCACAGAGGTACGTTACGTTAAACCCTAAAAGTCGCGTTTAGCATTTTGTATACGAGTACACTATATGCTTATTATTTTGCAAATAAATTTCATTATGTTTTTATTAATCTACATTTTTGTGAAAGTTTTGTGCGGTAGACGAGAATTTACTTAAAAGAATTTATCAATTTGCCCGGAATGAAGATATAGTAAGCGCAAAATGCATTTTTACTAGAACATGTAATAAACTTTTAAAAAACACTAGAAAATTTTAATAAACTTTTAAAAATTCCTTAGGACAGCTCTAGATAATTGTTCAGTTTACACCGAACACATTATGTACGCGTCGGCATTTTTTTAAAAATATTGACACTAATTTTGCGAATAGCTCCTACAATCTCGACCTGATTTGCGTGTACATTTTTCATGTTGCTATTAAATGCGGAACTATTAAAAAGGAAAGGTCTTGCTTTGGCGCTGCTGATTACTGCTGCCGCTGCTGCCGCTGGCCAACTTGCCGACACGTTGCTTCTTGACCAAGACAAGATGCTGTCAATCACGCGCCGCCGTGAAATGTAATCTTATGCGCGCTACCAATCAGTAATTGTATAAAACGGCTTTTGTTCGGCAAAATTATTGGATGTTTCATGTTATTTTAGATTTTTGCGAATTCTAATCTGCCATCTACTCTTAAGATGCCATTTCTGTCTATGAACGGATCAACTTCGATAAAAAGCATTGATAAAGCTTTTGGCAGCAACTAACACCACCATTGAATGATGATTTTCACTTGTTCTGCAATATATGGCGCAGCTGATTGCTCACTAAGACGAATCGCAGAAACCATGCAATTCGACTAAGCTTTTTTATTTTGTTCCTAAACATCTAGGTATTTGTAGTTGATCAATCATTTTGATATCAAGTTTCATGTTTATCCATTCTGCTTAGATTTCTTCGGTTAGTCAATCATCCCACTGAAGATTCAGCTGCCATACTTTCTGGAAGAGAAGTTTTAGTTTCAGTGTTATAGGACCAATCAAGCCAATTGGATCGAACTGTTTCGCAATTTCTGACAAAAACTTCGCATTTCTCCTCTGAGTCACTGATTTTTGATTGGGATGTCAAAATATCTTGTTTAGAAATCCAGCTGAGTCCAAGTGTTTTCGATGAATGTGGGAAAATGTACAGTTTACACCGAACACATTATGTACGCGTCGGCATAGAATTTTAAAGTAGAATGCCGACGCGTACATAATGTGTTCGGTGTAAACTGAACAATAATATATAAGTGATGTCATTAATTAAATTTTGCTCGATAATATATGCATCACGATCAGAACTTTCGGTTCTCGATGAAAATGAGAGCTAACTTTGTGATGTTTTTCTATCGAGAACATTTTATTCTATTACGTTGTGTATTATGTCATATCCATGTTAATATTTTTTTTACTTTGTACTTGGTTTAAATATGTAATTGGATCTACGGTTAGCAATTTGTGTTTGTATGCCCTCTTAATAAACGCAGACGTCGCAGGTTGATTGCTTGATGTAGTCCCTTCCCGAAGTAGAGTTCACTTTCACGTTCCCAAAGTAATTAATTCTTCAAATGCCGGCGCCTGGTTTTTTACTTAATAAGAGGAGTATAGAACTTTTTAGGCTAGTCCAAGTCATTCCACTCTTTCAACCGGAACATACTAGAACACTCACGATTACATAACGTTAACAAAGTCTACTCTAAAGGAGAAAAGGTTTTATATATTTCGACATAAATCTCGCTTGAGTTTGAACGTTATCTATTTTTAAGCCTACACATGTTATTACTTGACAGAGACTACTGACCCTCATGGTCAGGAACATTTTCGTCCAACGTAATGCCATACGCAACTGACTGTTGTAACAATAATATAAAAGTCAAAACGGCGCCAAGCTCTTAGGGCCTGCGCTCACAGACAGTACGACATGGCTTAGCGTGTCAAGGGATTTTTTCATTGACAAAAGATTTTCGACCTTATAATAATGAAATTAGCACTGACATTCTTTTATTTCAACATCACTAGACCGAAATACTCGTGCGACACCGCGGCACGCTGCGGTGCGTCATGGTTTTCCATGGGATGCCGCGGCACGCCGCTGTATCACGTGAAACGCATGTTTCTTCATGTTGTTAAATAAATGTGGCTGCTAAGTAATTCAAATAATCTTGAATCTAGCCGACTCGATCTCCGACTAGCGCGAGCGCTCGTTACTCGAGCGCGTCTTGACTAGTTTGGCATGCCGCGGGCTGTCACAGGATCCTACGGCATAGCGATGTGTGCCGTAGGATCCTGTGACATGCCGTGCCGTCTGTGAGCATAGGTCCTTACACTATAAGTACAAATCCAGATAAACTCATAGAAACTCCTAAAACTTAATACCGAGAGTGTATAGCGTATACTTGTCTGGCAGCAATCCGAAACTACCTGAACACGAGTGGCGCGAGCGGTGCTGCGTGTAGAGCGCTGCTGCTGCAGCAGCTGGTCGCGCTGTGGGCGCTACAGCGCTGGGCCGCCACGCCGCGCGCGCTTCGCCTGGTGGCGACCTCGCTGTTGCTGGTGTACGACGCCGCGCGGCTGCGGCACGCCGCCGGGTGAGTACTGCGTGCCGCAGGCTGCACCACACTACACTTTACTACACTATACTACACTGCACTACACTTCACTGCGCTACACTACAGTACACAGCCGCCGCGCTGTTGCTGGTGTACGACGCCGCGCGGCTGCAGCACACCGCTAGGTGAGTACTGCGTGCCGCGCGGCTGCAGCACGCCGTTGGGTGAGTACTGCGTGCCGTAGACTGCACTACACTACACTACACTACACCGCCACAAACTTCACTGTGCTACACTACAGTACACAGCCGCCGGGCTGCTGCTGATGTACGACGCCGCGCGGCTACGGCACGCTGCCGGGTGAGTACTGCACGCTGTAGGCTACACTATACTACACGTTCATACATAATCAAACGGTTATAATAGCTCAAACCTTGATAACCTAGATAAAATCCTGGCATCGGACGTATAGTGTCACTTTATTTAATGAAAATAACAGTACCTACAACCGCTTGAAGAAATTGACTAGTGGAAAAACTTACCCACAAGACTTGTACTTATCTAAACAGCAGCATATAAGTTAGATACTGTACTGATTACTAGCAAAATAATGAAATAATAAGTATAAAAGCAGCTTACAGATATACTCAAATTTGCTGCTAATATGATCGATCGAAATACAGACTCAGGAGGTTAGTGAAAATTTGGCACATTTGGCGACCCGATCAACGGTGAAATCGGGACGTCCCGCGCAAATCGTGTCACTTGGCAACACTGGTAACAAAAGTGATACGTCCTATGGCTGGGAGGACCTGGAGCGTACTGCAGGCCTATGAAAGTTCTCAGTAACTTGCTTTTACGTTATACGCTTGTACGATACTAGCGCCAATCTTACATTCCGTAAAAGCACTTTTTCCCCCACTAATTTACACATTGCATCCAAAAGATGGTATCACTGCTGACATTTATTATTTATAGCGAAATCTAAATCATGCTATCAAAGTTTTGAAATACCTCGGTATATTACTGCATGACCTTTTTCACCGTCTGAAAAAAAAATTATGTGAACAGACTAGAAGTTGTTTTTATTTTTTGTAAAATATCAGTGCCAAAAGCTTCTACTCCGTTCACATGTTATACCCTGAATAAAACCACTTATCTGATTTTATCGCGTTTAATTAACTTATTTTTAAATCCCGACATTTCGGGTGTTTTACAGGTTTACAGGTGACAGGCACCCATGGTCACGGCGAGACTGAGATGTTTGACGTCCCAATGTCATAGCTAGCCCCGCTACCTTCAGTTTTTGAATATTAATTTTTGGTCCGATCTACGCAGAACGAGCTTACAGTATCTTGAAGTCTTGCAGTGGTATGCTTGGGTTTGGATTTAATTTTGTTAATTATAGGATCCCAAGCAGATGGCAGCACCCATCCATCTTCTCTATTGAAATTAGGATATTTTTTAATTTCAACGGCCCCGCGTATTACCCTTGGTAGGAATCGGTGTTCTTTTGTGAGGATTTGTGGTTTATCTATTTGAATGTTATAGTCGGGATAATCTTGAACATGTTCACAGGCTATAGACTTCCCGGAGCGTCGGTGCTTCACATCAGCTATATGTTCTTTCCCGCAGGTTTTTGTAGATCTTTTTGTTTTTCCTATGTAAGAGAGACCACATTCACAATCTGTCTTGTACATTCCTGCATCTTTTTGAGGAATATTGTACTTGATGGTTGGTAAGAATTGACTAATATTGACTATATTATAAAAAATAGTGTAACATAATTATACCCTATTTTTTCCAGACGTTGAAAAAGGTCACCAGTATAGAATTACTCTAAATAAACAATCGTAATAATTTAAACTATAGTTATTTAATAAAAGCTTTATGAGAAATTATATAATATAAATTAGGTAGTTTCCAATTAAAATGATATATTTTTAATTTTATTAAAATGTACGGAATAATTGATAGCGCCCTCTAGTGGTATTTTTGGGTAATTTATAAGCGCCATCTGGCCTGTAAGAAACAGTTACCTATGTCACGCTGGGCAGGCGGATTGGTGAGCTCAGATTTACCTTCGTAATCCAGTTCTGCTCCACATCACTGGTGATATTATTTTATATGTGATAGTGCCAAACTGAAGCGTGTTATGCAGTAAAATGAGTCAGCTTAACCGGGAATAATACCAGCCGATAAAAGCGGCATATTGCTGCTGTGTTTCGTATGATGAGTGATAAGAACCAGCGACTCTTTATGGTAACGATGCATTCCATCTTAATCTTCAGGTGGTGACAACGTATCAACGTTTTTATTCTTAATCGAGGATAGATTTAAATATCTATGAGTTATAAAACCACTTACCATCGGGTGGACTGTGTTCAGTAGTCACTCGTAACTTATACCTAATACTATATATAAGGGATAGATTTAGAAGATCAGTCAGGAGCTCTTTTATCGCCTAAGAGTAAATTTTTAGTTGGTACTTCCTTCTTAAGTCCTTCTACTACTTAACAACACTACACTAACTGCAGTATTGTTACGCGCCACGGTTGATGCCTGGTACCTGACACTAGCGCCATCTATTATCAAATAGAAGAACTAAGCTTTCTAGAAAACTCCACACTCGAATTTACTACACCTAGTCGGTCGGGACCGGTATTTGCCTGAATATTCTAGATGTTTCGGTGGAAAAAGCCTATATAAAGCCGTTTAGGGCCGCGACCGGGGGAGTATTGAATTGGTGATACGAGTGAATATTTTGAAGCGATATACCTGCGAACTAAAGTGTTAAGTGTGATTAACTATTAGTGTGTTTTAAGTTTTTATTGGTGTTCGGTAATTAGTGTCAATTTCGGTAATTCAATCGGCAGTTTTTATTGTCACGAACCCTAAGCTCGTAAAAGTATTATAGTTTGAATTGCAAGAGAGACAGTATAATTAACTAAATACTATGAACTAATAATATACATACTAACAATAATATATATTATATAGGATTAATGCTCAGGGTTGAATTTGGCGTAATAAAAGTTATTCACTCTTGGGTCGAAAATCAAAGAGACGCCGGCAAATTAATCCACTCCTTTGCCGTAGTTTAAATGTATTGTGTCTGGCCACAGCGTCTGCTTACAATCGGGTAGACTGTAGGTACTCCAGGTACTTCTTTGTCAGCCTTATTCTGTTTTTTTTTAAATAGCATATTTGGAAATTAAACGGTTGTCATCACACTCAACATGATTTTCTTCTCAAATTTCAGAAACCTCAGTTCGTGTACCCAGCAACCAATAATGCGAAGGAAATCTATTCACTCCACATACAACCCAACTGTGGGCTCAAATTTCAGCGGACAAATCAGCTCCAACGGTCCCGTATATAAAAAAGTTAGCGCGGTACCGCTTTCTTCCATGGCTGAAGCTCAGAACTACTTCGCTCCTCCACCCCCCGTCAACTCTCCGTGGTCTGAGGCTTTGGAGAAACTGAATCACTGCCACTCCTTTGAGCACAACTATGAGGATAAACTTTCGAAAATTAAAATGAACTACAGGGCAGTTTTGGACCAGTTGTCGAGTGAGTCTCCGTATCCCAACCCTTGGGGGACGGTGAAGTTGATAGATTTCGCGCATGCATTCTTAAATGATGACGAGAAAGAGTCTGTTGATTATAACTTTAAGGAAGGAATTGACAGTTTTGTACATATTTATGAATCTTTATTGCGGGAGACGGACGATCAAGTGTTTTGATAGAGCTTTTTAAATTAACATTAATTGTATGCAGACAGTAAAATAAGTGTATCCATGTAGGATGTGTTGCAAACAATCACGTATTTAGTTATTTGGAACATTGAATGTATTGTAAGATCATGGTTACAATAAAATACAATATAAAATTTTAAAGCGCGTATTGTAATATTAAAAACTATTTTAAACTTTAAGATTTTCGAATTTAATATATATAAGAACGTAATTAAGCAAAAAGCATCCAACCCACACTTATTGAAAATCAGTTAAATATATTTGCTTATTGTATTTGTAGTATTAAGAATTACGTAAGAACTTTTCATGATATATCTGGAGAAAGTTGCAGTCGATAAAAATAAAAATAAAAACAAAATTAGAGCAAGCTATTATCACTGAATATAGATCCAAGCTTTAAAAAAGTCAATATTTTTTTATTTTTTTTTTAATTTATTCAAGGCAACAAACAGTCATGTAAATAGATAGTAACATGGATAAATAATAATACAACTAAAGACCTATAGTGCCTGTAACTAAACTTTTACAATATTTTAAACTTATTGAGCTACTTTTAGGACTAAAGGACATTATAAATTTATTTATTTATTAATACACTAATTTCTAATATGAGGTATCTAGTTAACATTTCGTGTGCAATTAAGAAAAGGAAAGAGAAAAAAACCTATGTTAAAAATATGGTTATTATAACACTGACAAATTTAGTTCAGATTCAATTAGCGAATTGAGTGCCGCCACATTTTCAGTGAAGGGTAAATAGATTATTAACAAGCCAAACTTTGAAAGAGAGCAGATTTAAGCTTTGATATTGATGTATTAAATAAATCAATATCTGTGAATTTTTTATTGTAAGTGTTAGTGGAACGATACACAAATGAGTTTCGCGTATAATTTTTATGATATCGGGGAGTTACGAAAAGTGGTTTTGGACGTGAGGGGCGCACAGGCAGACGGACTCGGGAAACAAATGACAATCTGCTAAGTAACAACGAGGAGTCGACTAGGTTATTAATGATTTTGTATAGAAATACTATGTCAAACATTTTACGCCTATTGCAAAGAGAAAGTAAATTGTATTTTTTTAGTGAATCGGTGTATGACTGGTTTAAAATATTTTGGCGATAATTTAGGGATTTAATAAACAATTTTTGAACTCTTTCTATTCTCCTAATATGAACTTCATAACAAGGGCTCCAAACAGTGCTGCAAAAAATCAAGGAAAGATCTGACAAAAGAGAAGTACAAAATTTTTAGAGTTTCGGGACGTTTAAAAGGTTTACTTATTCGTAGTATAAAACCTAGATTTTTAAAAGCCGAAGCTAATATGTGCTCAATATGTGGAATAAATGATAAGGTCGAATCCATGATTATACCTAAGTCCCTGATTGTGGTTACTCTATTTAAGACCTTCTGATTTATGTGGTAGTCGAAAGTAACGGGATTTTTTTGCGAGTATACGATATTATGTAGCATTTATCGCTGTTTAGAAACAGATGGTTAAACTCACAGTATGCATGTAATCGGTGTAAGTCTTCTTGGAGTTTGTGGCAGTCAGTAATTGATCTGATGATTCGATACAACTTAGTGTCATCAGCATACAAGAGATGGTGACTATGTTTCAGGACATTGCCAATGTCATTTATATAGACTGAAAACAGTAAAGGCCCAATATGAGACCCTTGAGGTACACCCGAAGGGACTGGAAGAAATCGTGACGAATAACCCTTTACAAAGACTGCTTGACTCCTATTACTTATGTAGGATTGGATCCATCTGAGAAGGCTGCCATGCACACCGGCCCTTGCAAGCTTCTTTATTAGCAGATCGTGATTTATTTTATCGAAAGCTTTGGAAAAGTCGGTGTACACGGCGTCCACCTGTAGGTTATCATCCATGGCATGCAACAGAAAGTCATTAAAAGTTAACATATTGGTGTCAACGCTACGGCACTTAAAGAAACCGTGTTGTTCCTGGGAAATGTGATTACGGAAAGAGTACGACATTTGAGCGGTTACTATCTTTTCTAGGATTTTGCCAAAGATACAAAGTTTCGATATAGGTCTGTATTCGTCTATAAAACAATATTTCAAAAGTAGCGTTTTGTGAGTTGGATCCCATCTGTTTAACCGCTCATATGCCAGAGCGAAGATTTCTGTAGAAAATTCTGTACACTAGGTTTGACAGAGCTAATATCTGCGCTTCCCGACTTTCACGCGAATTAGGCCTATTTATATATGTTTGATGGTTTTTAAAGCCTTTTGAATAAATGAACGAGTTCCAGTCGTCAAGCTTTCTCATTGGCCGCGAAAACAGAGTTCAGAATCATTCTACCGTTTGTGTTCAAACTGGTAGTGTTTGAGCTTTTACAGTGGTATTTTGAAGAAAAAAGTGTAAAAAGTAAGTATTTTTTATTATTTGTTGTATTTAGGACTGAAATCTTGAAATGGGATCAGTGTAGTGTTAACATTTCGATGGTATTATTTGAAAAATATCTGTGCAGAATCCTTATACTATATTTCCTTTCTAATTACGACTTTTGCTTTACTTATACTATTTTGTTGGAAATTTCGTGTAGATTTTATATATGTGATACGTTTCGTTCTAATTTGTAACATTATTTATTTACGACCATATTATCACACTAACTCGACATAAACATCAAATCAAAAAAATAATCCTTCATCAAAAAAATAAACCCTTACATGATGTTCAAAAAATTATCATGCCGGAGCGTAGATCTACGCTTTGTGAATTTATCCACATTGTCTATGTATTAATTTTATTCTTTTAAATATTTTCATCTCGATTTAGGTAGAAGTATTGTGGCCGTGAAAGGAAAAGGGGAGATCTCCCCTTTTCCTTCCACGGCCACAGTGGCGACCCCGATGTGATAGTGCGGAGATGTTCTATATATGCTGTTTATGATTCAGAATGACGATAGAGCCGCCATAGTATCATTAGCAAGTTGGTAAGTCGCGTGTGGGGTCAAATTCTTATCATGTAGTACAATAATTTATTATTTTATTTTATTTCTGGTTTTTTCTTTATCTTCTGTACGAGTATGCCACTGAAACTCTAAACGACTAGACCGATATGGAAATGTTTGTTTAAGTGGGTTCCTGGTCCTGGAAACTATTTTAGATCTCGTCATGACTAACACTCCCTCAAGATGCAAAAATATTAAACTTATACACAATCGTTGTCTTAGTGATCATGCATTGGTGCTGTTAGATTTGGACATAAGAAAACCAAAATTTTATAAACAAGTAAAACAACAGAGATTACTAAGAAATATTAATTCCGAAGTTTTCGCAAGAGATCTGACCCTTATACCCTGGGACTCTATCTATAATCTAGAGAACGTAGACGAAATGGTTCAGACTTTCAACGCATATATGAGCCAATTATTTGATGCTCATGCACCTGCCCTTACGCTGACGATAAGGGACAAACCAAAGCCATGGATTACAGATATGTTGCTATTCATGATGAGTTTACGTGACGATGCCTTAGAAAAAGCCCAGAAGGATAAAAAAAGATTGTTCAAATGAATACTACCGAACCCTTAAAAATTTAGTCACAGCAACCCGTAAACGCGAAAGAAAAGCTTACTTTAACCATTATATAAACAACAACTTAAAAGATCCGAGGTCGCTGTGGCGTAATATAAAAAATGCTGCACAAATTAAAACTACTCATTTAAATACAATTCCACACCATCTCAATGACCCGAATATTATTAATGACTATTTTCTAGACTTGCCGCCATGTGACAAACCAGAACTCAAACAAGATTATAAAGTATGTAACGAATGCTCACACGATACCCTATTCGACCTAAACCCGACAAATGAAATAGAAATTAGTAAGATTATCAATAAAATAAAAACAAAAGCCGCAGGACACGACAACTTAAATATTGAAATGCTCAAATTAACTTTACCTGTAACTCTCCCTATTATTACATTTATAGTAAACAAGTCGATCGAAACCAGTACATTCCCAACGCAATGGAAAAGAGCTCTAGTCAAGCCCATTCCTAAAAAGAACTCAGCAAGTGAACTAAAAGATCTGCGCCCTATCTCGATCCTCCCGGTGTTGTCTAAAGTCTTAGAAAAGATTATACTTTTTCAAATGCTAAATTACTTAGAAACGAATAACCCCCTACCAAAGTTTCAATCAGGGTTCAGAAAAGGGCATGGCACGGAAACTGCCCTCTTAAATGTCACTGACGATCTAACAGAGGCCTCCAATATGGGATTGAGCAGTATCATGGTGCGTTGGATTACACGCGGGCATTTGACTGTCTACAACCTGAAATCCTCTTAAATAAATTAGAACACTATGGCTTTTCTAAAGACACATGTAGATGGTTTCAGTCATTCTTATCCAATAGAGAACAAATTGTGGTAACAGATGGATGCAATGGTGGCAAGAAATTCTCCACTCTACGGAAAATTGTAAGAGGAGTACCCCAAGGCTCCTTACTCAGTCCTATTTTGTTCTCTCTGTACACAGCAGACCTACCTAAGCAAATAAAACATTGTAAATACCATTTGTACGCAGACTACACCCAGCTGTATCATTCTTTTGACCCCAGGGATGTTAAAGAGGCAATAAACAGAATAAATGAGGATCTCCATAATATCCAAACCTGGTCCCAAAAAATTCTCTAGTATTAAACGCAACTAAATCACAAGTACTAGTTTTGGGCACAAAAAACCAAATAAAAACTATTTTAGACAGCGAGGAAACGATTAAAATAGAAGATAAAACCTTGACACAAGTGAGATCCGCTCGTAATTTAGGGCTTATACTAGACGGAGAGCAGAAATTTGTAGAACACATCAATAACAAGATAAGAAATTCGTACTTTAAACTTAAAACTTTATACAAAATAAGACCGTATATTAAAGAGGACCTACGCTTTCTCTTGTGTGACTCATTGGTGTTATCACAATTGAGCTACTGCAGCTCAGTCTTTGACCCTAAATTGTCATCTAATACCGAAAGAGCAATACAGAGAGTACAAAATGCATGTGTTCGATACTGTTGTTTACCAAGAAGACAATTTATAACCCCATACTTAAATGAAAAAGGCATACTCAATATGGGCGCCAGGAGAGAATTACACTATGCTTCGATAGTCCAAAAGGTAATTTGGAACAAAAAGCCAGAATACCTTTTCGAAAAACTCACCTGGATCAAAGATATTTCCTGTCGAAGTATTCGTTCTCACACACACCCGCACACAAAACAGCAAGATATAGAAGTTGTTTCAAATTCACTGCAGCGAGAATTTGGAATGACCTCCCCCACCCATGAGAAAGAAAATGTCAATAGATTGCTTCAAAGCCAAGTATAAATTGGCTCTGTTAAAAAGACAACTCGCTGCAGAGAATTTGAAACATCCCTATGTTAAGTTTTTACATTTACGGGACTTTATTGTCAAAAATTAATAAGGATACACACTCTACACACACACACACGCACGCACGCACGCACGCGCACACACACACACACACACACACACACACACACACACACAAACACAAATAGACACATATAAGTTCAAAGAAAGGAAAGTTTATTTTATATTTTCTATTTCTCGTGTTGTTTTTGAATCTGTTGTTAGTTCATTTCGTAATGATTGTTTTATGCATATTTTTAAATGTTTTTATTTTGTCTTTAATGTTTTTAATCTTTTTTTTGTATTTGCGATTTAATATTTATATAATATTTTTTTAATTAAAAAAAATATTTTATATTGATATAATATTTAATTACTTTGTACGTAGTTTAAAAGTATAAGTCAGGTAAATGGGGAGCCTGCTACTTTGGACTCCCGCACAACACGTCAGGGTGGAGGGAGCGGCTGAAAAACAGCTCTGTATGAGATCTGTATCTCGTTACAGACAAAGCTGAGCCGTCTCCTTTTGTCTCAAATAATTATAATGTTCTTTTGTTTTAACGTGAATGTAACTGTGTGTTTTAGAGGCAATAAATTTATTATTATTATTATTATTTGCGTTTCGTTATAAGCAATTTTTAGTGAAATTTGTTTTTATCGTAATTCTGACGTCCAAGAACAGTGTAAAATGTTCAAGCTTAACTCTGACAAGCGTCCTAAACTAAAAACATAATTAAAATCAAGTACCGGATATCTACAGCCAACCCAGAAAATCTATTATTTGGTAATGTTTGTGTATGTTTTAGCGGATTTTCATACATGGTTCAGAGCCGCCTCCTTATTATACCTTAATATACCGTCGGCGCTAATTTCTTGAATGCTTGTTGAATGTTCACCAAGTGGCAGCTTACGCGTAGTACCAAATCAGCAAATTATAATCTAGAGATCACATTCAGGAACCTTGCAGGTACATATAATACGTACATAATATTTACTCGTTTATATGTATATTTGGAAATCTGCTGTCAAGCTGTCAAGGCCTTATTTACAAGAATTGCCTAATTTATAGAACAAGACACTAATTTTAGTTGTTCAGTTGAAAGAGAGGCTTTTGGCAGCGATTCAGTCAAAGCTGAGCCTTCTGTCAACGTACCATTTGTATCTCCTACTTGCGCAACCAGCAGCGCTCCAAGAAGGCAAAGATTATTTGAAGAGCTTCCATCTGATGATGTAAGAAATTTCTTTTCTTCCCTAAAATAATCGATTCTTTGACTTTATAATATTTACTATCTATATTGACTTTTTTCAGGAGTTTGAAGATGCTGAAGAAAACCCCGAGCTTCAACAGTCAGTGTTTCCTCTGTCTCTGATGGATGCACTGGCTGTAAGCTCCTGAAGTTAAGATGAAAAAAGTTAAAACTGAGGAAATGTCAGAAGCACTCTATTCTATTCTTGGAGACGACAACAAGAATGCCGGTGAGCATGAGGAAGGCAAAACAGAGACAAACCCAGAAGATTTTAATTGGTAGAATGACTTTGGAATTTTTACAGATCGGGAAGAAACCTACACCCAACGAGCTGGGCCAAACATACAGGAAACAAAACCTTTTTAAACATTTAGCCAAATGTGGGATAAACCTGTTATAGAAAAGATAGTTGCGGAAACCAACGAGTATGCCTGGCAAACAATAGTGAAGGCGTCGGAAGGTACTATTCCTCGAAATTCTAGACTCCACCGGTAGTTCGAGATATCTCAAAATGAACTTTACCGGTGTTTTAGGAATTCCTAGTTTTAGGAAGTTGATATATAAGTTTTAGTTAGTAGTACAGACAGTACCTGTCAATGTCACTGTTTATGGGCATGCACTAATTAGGTCGGCATGTCCATAACGTATGACATTGACAGGTACTGTCTGTACTACTAAGAAATTCAGGACTTCATAGGCGTGATTTTTACTGACAGCTGTCGCAGAGATCAAGCTATCTTTTATGAACTATAATACCCTTAGGCTGGATCAGTGACGTCACGACATGTTCTAATATGGCGGACAGCGTTTTGCAGATTTGAGGGACAGACAAAAACATATATTCTTAAAATTTAAATATAAAATTTATAATGCAATTATACAAATAGAAATCAACATTTCTCGTTTACTTTTTACAAAATCTATATATATATATATATATATATATATATATATATATATATATATATATATATATATATATATTACATGGTGTAAAATACCCTATTTGGGGTGAAATCGAACTTCAGACAACCCTGTTTTCTATAACCAACCAATGTACATATTTTAAAGATTTGTCGGAGTTATAGGGCCAAAAGAGCTGGAAGTGTAGAATTAAAAAAAAATCATTCTGTATATCGGAATATTGGTATATATTTTACTTAGTTACATATTCATTATTCCTATGAGGCTGAGAGTTATTTTAATTTAAAAATGAGAATGTCTTCTTCATCACAAAATTCAAGAGTTTAATTTTTTTGTTTTAAAGTTTCTATAAAAATATATCATGAAATGATATGCAAAACTTGCAATGATGTTGTTCTTTAAAATGTTTAAAATTAGGTGTAAATAATAAAAGCTATTCAGATTTTTTACGATATTTTAAGGAGTATTTCTACAGATTCTAGGATAAAGCAAAAATCTAAAGTGGCAACACTGGTTACATGGTAGTACAACAAAGTACCTCATAATAAACTATTATCAACAATTAAAAAAATAATTTTGTCAAAATGCATTTCATTAGAGGAGTTTTGGCAGGAACTTGGCCGACGACGGACTATCGCTCCTGTTTTGTCGCTTGAATAATGGTTTGAAGTGGATTTTAATTCGTAAAAGTGATGTGATTTTGTGAATTAATTCTCTGCGCGTGTGAACTATTAGAGAAAATGACGAAACAAGTGCTTTGATGTCGATATAAACCTCAAGTTATTTTGATCGCTTAGACGCCTTATGAACTTTGGCTGTCGTCATCAACTGTCCGCTGGGTTGAGCTGTCGTCATAATCTCCCAAGGGCTTCGCAATGTGACGCATCAACATATTGTGAAGAAAAGAAAAAAAGCGCGGGAACCTTGAAACTGGACTGATAAATCTATATGGATTAAAACTTATAAAGATTATAATATAAAGAAGACTTGGCTTTAGCCTTTGTGGTTTTTGAAAATATGAAGAATTAAAGAAAATAAGACTTGGCTTCGGCCTTTATGGAGAAAGAAGAAAAATAAGACTTGGTTCCGGCCTTTGCACTTCAAAAGTCTATGTTTCAAATTTAAAAAAAAAGACAAGGCTGTATGGCTTAGTTCCTTTCCCTGCTCTCTGGAGCGAATAATAAAAACAATAACAAGCATTTCATTTTCATTAGAACGCCATATTGCTTCCAGCGAGCGTATTTATACGTATATATAGTACAACGAATTAACGAATTTAACACCCTTGGAACAAAAAGCGGCCCAAAAACAAACATCAATCCGCCGCTGCCCCCCCCAAAGTGGTTTAGAGGGCACAGGCCGGAGGAAGCGCCCAACAAACCCGAACCCCCCTTGGTGGCCCCCCCCCGCCACGGCAGAAATTTAATGACAGCTCGCCACTCAAAATGCGTTGAACCATTTAGGCTACAGGCGCTTACAAAAAAAAATAACATGAATACATACAAACTTCATTTGTCAACCCAAAGTTAACAGCTAGACTTTAGCCTCTAGATCTAGAGGGACGATTTGCTTTAATAATTGTCACGTTTAGCGTGCGTGTATTTACCGTATAGTGGCGGTGTAAGAATACCCGCTACCACCTCAATTATCCCGTGGGTGTCGTAAGTGGCGACAGAGGGAAACAAAGACATGGGCAGCAGCGTCTTCATAATAACGACTAATAAAACTGCCGTTGTTAACTCACTTGCCAAGCGTGGTCACTATGGCAATTATCCCCTTACGAGCCAATCTATGAGGGAGGCATCTGTTCAGCAAAGAACTTTAATAGGTTGTAACGGTAACGGTAACATTTTTTTACGTGATAGAGCCACCCTGCAGCTACGTTATGGTTGTAGCACGAAAGGATCAGCTCGACCGGGAAAGGACCACGTTCTCACAGAATACTAGCGTAAAATAGCAGCCTAATACTGCTGTGTTTCCTATGGTGAGTGTAGAGATCCGGAGACCCCTTTTTACTGGAAACGAGGCATTCCATCTTAGTCCTCAGGGGTGACAACGCATCTGCGTTTTGATTCTTAATCGAGGATAAATTTAGATATCTATGGGCCACAGCATCCACTTCCTATCAAGTGGACTGTGTGCTCGTTTTTCACCCGTATTCTATAAAAAAAATGGTATCGCATTAGTAAATATTATTGTAAAAAATATTTTGCTCTAAATTTTCTCTGCTTATCAAATATGTTGAAAGGGTATAATCAAATAAATTATTGTTTGATATGTTTTCAAATTTTTAAAATTGTGAAATTATATGTGTTATTAGTATTAAGTTCAAAATAAAAGTCATTTATCGCTTTCGCATTATAAATATTTATTATAAAATCAGCCAAAATTATTTATCCCAAATAAAACTTAACTATAAACTTAATAAACTGGCTAGTATGAAAATTAATGGCGAGACACTATCGACCCAACGACTAACGTTAAAATTAATCGTAAAGTGGTGCTGGACACTGCAAGTACTGTCTTGAGTAGAATATTATGTATCTTTAACAAAAATAGTATTGTATGGTTTCGCCTCTCCACGCTAGATGTCTCTAACCTAGTGAAGTGCGCACTATCAATTGATGTACATGTTTTAAAAGCAGCAGTGAGAAAACCTTTTATAAATGAATTTTACAGACATGTGAAAATAACCAAGAAAGGTTTTGTAAATACACAAAACTAATTACCAGAATTAGTTACGTATATTAATGAGGGGTTTCTCTAACTAGTAAAGAAAATTTCTCAGGTGGTTTAACTCGCCATGTCTAATAATACCTTTAAACCACATAGCTACATACATAGAACATAATATATACAATCATTTTTTTCATTATAAATTTAATTACAAGGATGCCTGTATCACTATATTATATAATAATTATAATACAAATATGAGTTAACATTTGACATTTTTTACATTTCAATATTTATATAAATATATACAATAATAATTGTATAAAAGAAATTAATTCACACATTTGGTATTCATTTTTTTAATAATCTATTTCCCTTATATTTTATTATTAAAGGGCAAGCATTTCATTTAAGAAAATATTAATACAAAATATAACAACAAAAAATCAACTGCTGACTTAAATGTTAGGGCACACAGGACACATAGTTAAAATAAATATTCAGCTATTATATAACTTGCGCTGGCCGCAAGGTCTCGACGGCCGCCCCGGCAAGTGGACGTTTGGCTACTTTTTTTTAATTTGATTATTTATTGAATCCGAGTTCTTCAGAGGACGATATACCGATACTGAATTTGATATGCCTGTTTCGTTTGGGGGGGTAGGGGGAGGAACTATCTTAATTGAACCGCATATTAAAACCACGTGGTAAATTTAATTTATTATATTTCATTATAATTATAATATTACTAGAAAAAAGAATCGCTTAGTAGTTGAGAAAATCAAGTTCGGCATTTAACGTGATACCACCAAATGTAAGAGTATCAGTGTTACCCTGATGGTAAGTGGATGCTGTGGCCGTTTTGTAACTTTTTATTTATTTTTTGTCTTCCACTATAGGTTGGTATCGTAATATATCTTAAAAATATATATTATAGCAGGGTATGAGGTCATTCAAAAATTGTTATAGAAACTACATAGCAATGTCTGGCTATAAATAAAATTAATATACATTATATCCACGTTATGACGGCCAAGACATGTATTCATTGCTGTCAGCTTTCACATGAAAAACTACAACAAAAAAATAACCTATACAAAAACGAAGTCCAAAAATATTTTTTTTTCTGAAGACGCAGACATAGTCGTTAGGTCGATCGTAAAATAAATACATAGTGTTAATGTAACCAAGGTTTTTTACATTTAATACCCACAGTCGAAACTGTGTGTGAACATAGCACATAAAGCAATCAATAAAAACTAAGATATAGTTATATCTGCAACAACACACAACCAAAGAGATATTACAGCGAGAAACGACAATTACAATACAATTCAATCGAAAACAAAGATCTATCTTAAAAAAGCAATTTCTCGCCACTTCTTCCCGCCTAATATAATACTTTATAATCTGTAACATCTCTATGGCTATATCACACAGTGTATAACATAAATGTTACAAGCATCAATAATCTAGGGTTATCATATAATATACAACGAAAGAAAATGATAAAAACTGACGATCTAGCACAAAACAAAGCACCTCGTCATAAACTATAGCGATACATGAGAGTATTTATTATTATTCAATTATATTTTATTTATTTTTTTTTGCTAATTTTTTAATTATATTTCATTATGAAAAACTACACACATGGCAGAGGAATTTTAACATTTTCACCTTAATTTAGGTCAGAATATCACAATTCGTTAGACTCCACTGGGAAGCGGCGTCTCGCTACTGTTTTGAATGTAAAATCGTGCGAGCGCTTGGAAACAAATTTGTGTGAACGTACAGACACGAGAACACACTTTAATATATTAAATGATTTCCAACGCCCCAATCAAATAAAAGTAAAATATAATTATAATAGCATATTTGGGACTGCGCGGAAGATTTTTGTCTAATACAATTCACCCATTTCCCAATAATTTCGTACCTTTAATAGAATATACACACCATAGACAGAATATACAGACCATAGACAGTCCTGTTTGAAATATAAGTAATAGGTAAATAACTCTTGATCTTTAAAACCTTATGGGGCTGTGTTTTATAAAATCCTTTATATCAAATCAAATAAATATAGCATCAAATAACCTCAAATAACCTGACTGAATACAATTCAACTTTTGAACTATTATGTTCATATAATTGTAATTTTTAATTTTTTATGTTCTATTTCAACTTACGAATAACTTTTGATGAGGATTGAAGATTCGATCCTTAATGTAATATGTTAGCACAGTTTTGTCTTACTGTTATTCATTATTTTTATAACTGTGCATGCTGTGGCTACCTGTGAGGTTTGTACTTAGTCATGAGCAAAATTTGTCCTGTTGGTAGTTTTAAATAAAAAAAATATCGAAATATCATGTAATATTTATTATTTAATGATTTATTTTTTGAACTCAATACTAAAAATGCAGTAAGCTAATTCCAAACTAAGCTCAGTTTTTCCCATTTATTAAAAGTGTTTCCTTTTTTTTCCCATTAAATGTAATTATATTGATGATAAATAGAACAAAAATGTTATAAACTGCAAATGTTATTCGCATTTGATAGAAGGTTAAACGAGTATAATTTCAGCAAATAATGATACGAAATTGATACGAAACATTGTTGCCTTTCACATTATTAGAGTTGGAGTTTTAAAATATTTTATACTAGTACGAAAAATCACATGTAAGGACCATAATGCATAAAAACCTACAATCAAAAAACCATTACATTTCAATAGTCTATTAAAAGGCAAGATGTTAAAAGATGGCAGTTATCATGTATGGAATAGTAAACTGAAATCTTCTCCAAAGTCAGTCAAATTAAAACAGTTTAATCCAATCAGTTGACGAACATGAGAAGTATCAGTAGTAACAAATATAATTATGTAGGTACATGTTTTCCTTGTTGGATGCAACTTGAATTTACTTTTAAACATCTAGAGGGGGCAAGAATGGCATACAAATAAGGATCAATCTTCCGCGCGTATTCGTCCATTTCCACTCAGTTACAACTAAACTGGAGGGTAAAATCTGATTGGCAACGCCATAACCCACTCCTGTAAATATTAACTTTAGTGTTTACATATTAGGCACTACTCCAGGACCATACACTTCACAAAACCCTTTTGTTTTTCATAATGTTTTATATGGTGATTTTTTAAGCTTTTCATGTAAGTATTTAGGTTGTTTCTTATTTGGTTGGTAAGAGGTTGATGCAACTGAAATAAGCATGTTTATTTATTCAACTTCATATACATAGTAATCTATATATGCGGACTTAATGCCCGAGGTGTTTACTACCAGTAAAAAGAGGCAGGTGAGTCATTTATCATAATATGCCATCTCTCAAAATATCTTACAGTAATAGATAATGATCTGCAATGGTGGAACGTGGTTTTGGTGGAAGATTTCCTTATTGTCAAGATATCAATGGTACAAGAAAATGGGTGGCACCACGTGGTACTAACGAAATAGTATCACCGCACACTTCCTTTAGTATGCCGCCAAATACACTGCTATTTGCTATTTCCTGTCTGAAGGGTATCGAGAGATGACAACGCATCAGTAGCCTTCTTTATGGAAGTAAGTGTCCATGAACAACAGTAGCCATTTACCATTAGTACAAAATCCTCAAACTCCCCCCTACAAAATCCCTCTATATTGCCTTATGGCAATCTATCAGGGAGACCTATTTTCAGCAGTGGACTTTTATAGGCTGTAATGGATGGTATCATAACTTTGTTTTCACTTGACGATGTTAGTGTTACAAATAATATTAAAAGTTTAAAATAACTTGAACAAAATGCTTTGAATTTTGTTCAAGTTAAGTTGGTGAAATTGAGTTAAAAATACCATTGCATTCGAACACTTTATGTACATACCAACAAACATACATCAGTACATATATACTGGATGACCTCTCTTACCATCTGGAAAAAATAGAGTGTAACATGTGAACGGAGTAGAAGCCTATGGCACTGATGTTACAAAAAATAAAAACAAAAATTTTGAATTAAATAAATAATTAATTAAAATCGATCGAAATTCAAATTATATCTACCTTAATTTTCGAACGGCTATAAAACAATAAATTTAGTAGGCATCTTTGACCTTGTCACTTCGCTGTGTGACATACTAAAGGGCTAAGAACAAATTGTGCAAAAAAATTTTCAAATGTTTAATTCAAAATGTTTGTTTTAATATTTTGTAAAATATCAGTGCCATTAGGCTTCTACTCTTTTCACATGTTACACCCTTTATTTCGAGGCACTAAAAAAGGTCATCCAGTATACATAAATGGATAAATATATACATGACAAGGTAATAAAAGCGCGTTAAAAAGACAAAAAAGGAATATGTTGTGCTGAATAATCAAGAGATATACGCGGTATCAACACAATAAGATCTCGACTAAACGGATCTTGCATCTCTGTCGTACTGACCAGTTAAGAAACGAGGGGATATGAACAAAATTTGAATTCTTATTTAATTATTTTAATATAAGTGACATCAACAAAAATATTTTAGAAATTTTAATTCAATAAATTCAATTGTAAAAAATTGTAATTATTTGTTGATTATATTATGAAAAAGCAAAATAGTTTAAGAACAAGTTAATTTAAATAATAAATTTCTATTTCGTTTTAAGAAGCGTAGACTCATTTTCGATTTTAAAGCAATGCCCTAATATTGAATTTATCCTGAAAATGCTTCTATAACATTATTATTGTCATTCTGCTTCATCATGGGTAGTTTTTATTTTATTGACCCAGAACTCAAGTTGTAAAGTGTTGATCTCAAAAATAGTGAAAGTGCAAATAAAACTCTCATGGACAAAACATATTATGGACAACTTGGCCTTACTCACAAAATAGAAATCAATGTAGGTAGCGCTGAAAGTTGCTTTCTCTTTCTACTAAATGACAATAGAAAGAGACAGGTATAGAGACAATTTTCTTATTATAAGGCTGTTAATAATTATAAGTAAGGCTGTTAATACATGTTTTTTTTTAATATTGGGGTAATGAAGACGAACTCGAATCCGTGAGTTTTTTTGCTATTATTGCAGCGCCATTTAGGAATGAGGTGAAATACTTGACAGATATCATAGTGTTGAAGTTAATTTGTTAGAAATGTGTAGAAATTAATGTTTCTTTCTTTCAGAAATACCAGCAACATTTTATATTTATCAGATCGTAATGTATAAAAAGAACTATGGATATTTTTAAATGAATTTAAAAATAATAAAAATGTGTAAAAAAAGCACTGAGGCGTTGTTTTGTGAATATACAATCATTAGAATCCGAAAAACTTATAATTAATTCGCAATTTTTCAATGATGATGCCATTGAGTGACCATTTGCGTAACAAAATATAAGTTCACCCTCATTAATAGATGAAATAGATACACAGCTTATACGACAGTGAGGTTGGTGTCCATGGTGGGCATGTGGTGCGGAAGTGTTGTGTTCAGCGTCGCGGAGGGTGCGTCGCCTTGTAGTCGTAGGCGCAGCCGTGCACCTCCTGGTAGCGGTGCGGCGCGCAGTAGGCGCCGCCGCAGCGGCAGCGGTGCTCCGTGGCAGCGCCCAGCCTCCGCCTGCAGAACCCGCAGCGCACGCGCCGAGACTCCTTACCTTGTACGGCCGCTTCGGAGCACGGCTGCTTCGTTTCGGAGCAAGCCTGCTCAGTTTCGGAGCAAAGCTTCTCGGCGCGGGCGGGACAAGGACGAGCCAATTCTAAACGCTCGTCGCTCAAGTGCAAATGTTCGCGGTTGCGATACCGGCTCAGGGCTGGTAGTATCCTGTGGAGATGGGGTGTTACCACGTTTATTTTAAATCGCTTTCACGTTTGTCTGACGTGTATGACCAATCAGAAAAAGACATATTTCATACAAAACTATGATTATTATCTAATCTCGACTCCACCGAGTCAGTAATTTATTCTTGGGGCGATGTATACGCAAAGTTCAAAAATTTTATTAAACTAAGTTTGTATAAAAAGGGTTGTTATAATATTAAGGAATTTATGGAAGATAATAACCCCTAGGAAGTACCAAGCTATTTCTAATTTGTCTTGTGTTGATAATTGTAAACATGATTGTAAGCTATTATTTGAAAAAAAAATCCCGCTGGGTTTCTTGCTGGTTCTTCCCAAGACAGAGGTTTTTTTTTTGCGAACCAGTGGTAAATGAAAAAATTGACTTCCAATAAGTATTGTTTATAATCTACATTGAATAAAAAAGTTTCTGTTTCTGTTTCTATAGTAATGTTAACGGAAATACTATAATAATTCTAAGTGACATTGAAAAAAATATTTTCAAAATTTTAATTCACCAAAAATAACAGTAAAAATAGTTGTTCATTATTTATATTATGGTATGTATATAGTCAAGAACAAGTTAATTTAAATAATAAAGTTATATTTCGTTTTACAGAACGTAGAGCCAACTCGCTTTCGTGTATGTCTGTCTGTCTGTTGGGATCAATTTTAGACTGTGTTCCGAATTGTTTCCAGTATACTGGCAAATGAAAATACGTCATTAATTGACGCCATATTGTACTGGCGTGCCGCTGCCACATTATGTCGAATATCCCGCCATATTAAAACAATTTTTAATTGTGTGTGCAATTCCAGAATTCGTTTTTATTTATTCAAATACATAAAAATATAGAACTATTGTTGGTATATCCATTCTTCACATATTAATTAAAACAGGATATAATAACTTTTGGAGTACAATATGACATAAAATAATTGCCAACACTTTTAAAATATGGCGAAAATGTATGATGTCATATAAAGTTTTGAAACGAATCACCAATATGGCGTCAATTTATGACGTCATTTGCATTGGTCAGTATACTGGGTTCTATTTCGAAACAAACAGTTTAATAATTCTCCAAAAACTAAAAAAAAAACCAAAAAAAAAATTAATGGTTTTAAACCAGTCAAAATTAAACATCAAAGTGACTTTCAATAATTATTATTCATAATTTATACTGAATAAAAAAGTCTCTATTTATACTTTAACTTCCCGATGAAATTAAATTAACATTTTGAACATAACCTACATGTACCTGTGTACCTATGTGTACCTGGTGAGTGGGAATGTGGGGACGTAAATGTAGGCTGTGGCTGGTGCGTGAGCGTGACAGAGTGTAGGGTGTGCCTGTTGCGGGGGAGTGGTAGACTGTAGAGTGTACCTAGTGCGGAGGAATGGTAGAGTGTAAAGTGTACCCGGTGCATGGGAATGGCAGAGTGTGGGGTGTACTTGTGTGTGAGTGCGGTTGTGAGTACGTGGTGGAGTGTGGGAATGCGGACATACCTACCTGCTGTGTGTGTGTGTGTGTGTGTGTGTGTGTGTGTGTGTGTGTGTTGCAGCAGTACCTGGTGCTGGTGCGCGTGAGTTGGTGCAGGTCGGAGGTGGAGGCGGAGAGCGGCGGCGCGCGCGCGGCGGCGGCGCCCAGCGCGCAACTCGACCCGAACGCACGAGCCAGCCCACCTGCACTCACATGGATTAGTCAACTATCCGGCTCGAAGTACCAATCTTATTATTATTTGGGTTTAGTATTCTTATCGGGTTGAGATACATAAATATTTATAAATATATATAAACATATACTAATAATATAAATAAAACAGAATGAAATCATTTTAATAAATTATACTTAAACAAATAAATAAAGCCCAGATGAAGCCCACCAAACGGTCAAGGATTAAGAAAGGGAAAGAAGCTAGGGAACGATGCAGAAGATAACGAGGTGCACCGCCAAAGCGATCGGTCACGGAGTCCCAGTCACCTCTGATGACCCGAGAGGCCGACCGGGATTAGCCCATTCGCAGAGATGACTGCAGGAATAAATTCTATCGGCAGACCACCCCACATGTCGGTCACCCTGTGAGTGAGGTCCAGATATTTTGTTCGCTTATTTATTTCGGCTTTCAAGAGTTTTTCGTCATACGGAATGGTAATGTCGACCAAAAATATCTTTGACTATGCCCAGTCCATCAACACAATATCAATTACATAATATAAGGCAGTTTCCGATCCACAAGACCGTAATTTCAGAGCCAGTTCCTGGTGAAGAATCCTAACTAGTAGATTGTGTCCGTGAACCGGAGATGTCATGCCTAAGTCGTCATCCCTCGATTTCCCTAAAGAGATCACCGAAACGTAGCCAGTGAAGATAAGCAACTGTGTCTACGAACGGCCTTGTAAGTACCTCCCGTGAAGGGCTTGCTCCTTTCATATGGTCTCCCGATCGGAAATACTCTGTACTGCCGGGTCTTGCCATTACTCGTTAGCTAAGAATAGATCCCCTTATCACAAGAAATGACATCCGTATAGTCCGATCTCGTCAAGAAATAATTACTGAGGCTGCACACTTCGTGATTATGCAAGGTGAGCCACGCCCATCATCGTTCCGTGGTAAATACAGCTTCATTTCCGACGATCTCGCATAATGCATCCTATGGACGTCATAGTTGTACGGACTTTTCTATCCTGAGTGCTATTTTCTATTTGAGCCTACCTAAGTACGCCAAAGATATACATGAGGACAGGCATGCCCATAGAATACTATAATACATGCATAATAGAACGGGGGAGTGGTCGGAGCCCGTGTAGCCACTAAAATGCCACTAACACTTCACACGTATAATGGCCAATTTATAAATGTCGATCGTAACGTCTAAACACGAGATGTGTTTTGACGTTACAATCGTTTTCAAATTTCGCATGCATATTATTTAGAAAATGCCAAATTGCACGCTATTTACAAATAAATATGTATTAAAATCCGTCTGTCGACACAGCGAATCGAATTTGTAGTAGTGATTAACTGATAATACGACGTAATTGCTTGTATGTGTGCTCCCGGCGACGCCTATCCTCGTACAAAATAAGGTTGACAGCCATTAAATTGTGCATTATAGTATTCTGTGGGCATGACGCAACCGTTATATGCGCGTGTCTTATTGACGCCTAACAAAAGGCTGATAAGCACTTTGGTCAAGCGTGCATAAAACACGTCGCAAACTGACTGTTTCATATCCGCCTCATAATCTGTGACATACCCAGATATCGGTATGTTTCAGCCTTGGAAAAGAACTTTATGTTGATGGACATAGATATAAGCAATTTCAACATGGAGGTCCTCACACTTATCTGTCCCCGACTCCATCCTCCATCCTCACTGACACACACAGAAAATGTGGATTTCATATAGAAAAGGCACTTATGTCCGTCCTTTTCGAAGCTGAAATCCCTTTCCGGAGCCCTCCAATAAGGTACTGAGAGAGTTCAGAGAAGAGCAGAACCAGATTGCACTCAAATAATCGCCCTGGAAGATACCCCTTCTTAACCTTAGCGGCTTCCACATCCCTCATCCGCTCGCTCCAGGCTCCAGTTTTGCCAACAGAATAGGGACAGATAATGTATGAAAAGCTTTCGCTAGGTCTAAGAAGACACCTATACTAACCTGCCTTGTCTAAAATGGAGAAAAAAGCTGGAACATATCTCCAACAGCATCCTCAGTTGATTTACTACACCTGAGCCTGTATTGTCAACTCTAACATACAGGAGTTTATGATGTTCAAGAAAATGGGTCAGTCGATAGTTAACAATCTTTTCCAATATCTTAGAAGAGCAATTCATTCCATCATTGAGAATTATTATTTTAATCTATTAATTTGCGATCAAAAACAAAATATGCTTACCATACTTCGCAGGAGGAATGGGTGCAAGGTTTTTAGCAGCGAGTTGCGAATCCTGTGGGATACGATACTCTCCAATTGCACCATTGTCTATGCACTCCTCTAATATGGCCGCTTCATCCTCCCCATCTAAATGCGCGCCTTTTACTAATATCGACCCAGCCAGTGTGTCCGGAAGTTTAAAACTGTAACAATAATAATTACAACTCGTATTCTCTCTCTGCCAGCCAATGAAAGTCCCATCAATAGCGGTAAAAATTAATTTTTTTTTAATTATAAGTACCGTATATACTTTATTATGCATTTAGTAAAAACTATTACATAGGTTAAATGTAGATGTCTATGGGCCATAGCATCCACTTAGGGGCCGTTCAAGTATTACGTAACGAATTTTTTAAAGATTTTTGACCCCTTCCTCCCCCCAATGTAACGCGCCCTAACGTTTTTCTTTACCACCCTTCCCCCTCCCTAAACGTTACGTAACACCCAAGTGACCATTTTACCTAAAAGTCACAATTATGTTGCGCCGAGTACCGTTAAGTCGCGAAAATATTTTTGTTATTGTTTTAATCGCGTTTGCAGTAGTAGTAAATAAAAAAAGAGATTTCTAAGTCGCAATAATAAAATATTAACTAAAATAAACAATATAATATGCATGATATTATATTGTTTATTTTGGGTTTAAGTGAGGTGGTATCACGACCTCATAGAATACCAGCGTGAAGAAGTTTACTTCTGCGTAAATTCCCCCCCCACCCTTAACATGATAGCGGAGTTAAATAGAACACTACTCCAGGAGGGAGTAGGGTGCCAGCATATCTGGTGACGGAGAATTCCTCGCTGTGCATCCACGCCTAAGCTACCCTACTCTTCCTGAGTGTGAGTGCTCTGCCTGACAAAGGCAAGCCCTACCACGTTATCTGTGAATTTTTGCAAAATCAGGGAACTTAATTCAAACCTTAACACAGTTCACTACCATCTGGAGAAGGCGAAGCCGGCTTTGCTCTTTCTAACCGGGAACACAGGTTTCCTCTCTGGCTGATACTTTGTATCCCTCCTACCGGGATCTTTGTGCCCCGGGCTAATGTATGCGTATACGTCCGGCGCTAACCGACCTATCGACCACGTCCAAATGGCTGCCGACTCCGTGCTACAGGAGGTCCCAACCGCACAGATTGTGATGCTCGGTGATTTTAACGTCCACCATGCTGAATAGCTTGATTGCCGTTTAACCGATAATGCGGGTAGATCTGTTTATGACTGCCTTGGCATATTGTTTGACACAACTGGTTAATTTGATTATATTCGAATCCAAGATGTGGAAGGTCATGTACCTTCCCTGTTGGACCTTCTGTTGACCTCTCATCCGGATGAATATCAGGTCTTTGTCAATGTGGCTCTTCACACCATTGTCTGATCCGGAGTACTGTGTCACTTACGCCACCATCGCAGTTGCGTTTTGTAGATTTTCGCCATGTTTGACACCATAGGTCGGCTGATTGGGATAGGATGATGCAGTCTTTTTATGCATCCTACCCTTGGGGGCGGGTTTGTTTCTCGCCGGATGATCCCTACGTCGTTACTGATTCTGTCGCTGATATGGTACTTCAGGGAATGGAACTATTTATTCTATTATCTGTGGTGCCTATTGGAGGCAGAACTCGCCATGGCTTGGCCACTCCTGTAAAATTGCATCACGCCATAAACAGGAGTACTACCGGGCCCGGGCTGACGCATCAATGTCTACTTAACTTCAAGAACACGTGCATTCTAGTCTCTCGCCAAGGCTGTCCAAGGAAACTTCTGCAAACCACCTCTGCACTGCGAGGACGACTCAATGCACCATGCCGCAAGGAGAAAGTGCATATTTATTTTAACTTTTGGCAATGCAATTAGAAACGGAAATAAAACATTCTAGTCAAGATAAAATCGTATTCTTAACAATATTTTTAATTTAATAATTTTTTTATTTAAATTAAAAACACAAATGTTACGCCTTTGTTCGAAAGCCCCCTCCCGCCCCTGTAACGTATCATATAAACGTTTTACAAGACCCCCTCAGATGGACTGTGTGCTCCTGTTTCAATTTCAAGACTCCAATTTTATTTATTTGTATACTTTGGTTTTTTGAAAACGGTTTTAATAATTTGGATAAAATTTTGTATTTAGATATTGTTTTCCAAGTTTATATAGATAAGTGTCGTCCATGAGAAAAATATAGCAATTTCTTTTAGGTCTCCCAGGTACTTGTACCACGTAACTGTTTTAAATTATTCAATATCTGCACCTGCCAGAATATTTGAGACTCCTGTCTGGATATTATGCTGCAGCCATAATATAGCTGCAGTTTGACTACCACTTAAAATAAAATATCATGCAATTAGACATTATAATTCTTTACCAGATAGGTTATTTTGCTCTTGAGATGATACAAATTATAACTATACCATGAACCAATGTTTGATGAATCTTTTTTTAATAGGATTAGTATGACAAACAAGCACTCGGTCCACCTTGTGTTAAGTGGCTGCTGTGGCCCATAGACATCTACATATATCATAGCTTAAATCAATTTTAGTAAGTACTCTTGTAACATAATATCTATATTAAATAGAAATTATTCTATTCTATTCTATTCTTGAATTTTATTATAATAGAAATTACCTTTCACTCTCTCTAATGCTATCTTGCAACGACTGATTGGATTCAGCCCGAGTACCAATTGGAGGAAGCAGGGTGTATCTGTCAGCGAAGGAACAGTCATAATCGTATCTTGTGTAATGGCCATCGTAGAGTGGTGCGAATGTGTCCTCGGCCTCACCGAACGGGGTGTAGGTTCGAGTCGAAAACGCCTCGGCTGCAGAGTCATCTAGCAAACTAGGGACGGATAGGGTTTCTTCACTTCTTGTCTTCTGTATTTCCGGTTTGTCACCTATTTTGGGCATACAAATATTTGTGAGTTTTGTAAATATCATTAATTTGTCAAAATTAATTGTAGATTTTTGTGACATTTGCATAAAACAAAGAAAATTGGTCCATAGGTTATATTCATGTTCCGTTCGGGATTCACACCCGCGACTCTCAGCGCTGCACTCACTGCGTCATGGAGCCGTCACGGAGTTATAACATATATATGTCCCACTGCTGGCTACGGACCGTACATTTGTTCTGTGTAGGATTAGAATCCATGCCTCCATTGTGTCATATAACCAAATATTAAGCCACAGTACTACCAATCCGTTACGATATACGCCACCTAGGGGATAAAATAACCCCCCCCGAACGGGTTCCCGCCTTGTCGTGGCGGGGGGCTTAGAAGCCGTGGCTTGGTCACCCACGGCGAAACAAAGAGGAACCCATATGGCTGGTCCGAGGTGGAGGGCCGGCCCGAGGTGGCCACTCCGAGTGGGCTTGGGAAGCCCACTTTGGATGTGTGTTGGTGGACTGCGGTGAGAGGTGTGTCCTCCCCACCTACCGCTGCAGCCGAGGTGGAGTCGCGGAGGAAGAGGAGTGTTGGTATGGCGATGCGCCACTCGCCCTATCCTCCGCGACTCAAACGGGGCCGCACCGTTGATGCGGTGGTGGTGGGGCTGCGGGGGGAGAGGATTGTCGGTATTGCGAGGCGCCGCTCTCCCTACCCTCCGCAGCCGAATCTTGGTTGGCGGCGGAGCCATAGACCAGATCCGCCGCTGGGGTCGGGAAGGCTAGTACTTCTAAGTGCTCGTTTTTCCTGGCCCCATGGCCTTTGTGCATGGGACGCGGGGGCGTCTGTTGCACATACGTAATTGGAGGCCGTGGAGGAAGGCGCGCCATGTGTTCTGGTGCGCCTTACCTAGAAGGAGAACGGGGGAGGAATTTTCCTCTCCCGAGGAGGTGCTGCCATGGGGCGGCAGGCGCTAGTAGGGCCGCGGATGTGTGCGAAAGCGTTCCCGTAGCCCTGCCAATATGCGACAAAGGTGGAACACCATGGGGTTTTAGTCGGTGCGAGTCCGACATAACCCGTCCTTGCCCCCGCGAGGGGGGGTATGCGTAGGCATTTCCCCATGTAACAAAAAAAAAAAAAAAGGGATAAAATAAGGATATGGATTCTAATCTAGAACAGGTTGATAGATTTCAAACTAGAATAAGGTGATGGGTAAATGTAAGTTGAGTCCTATGAAGCTGTAAGAGCCGCATAGGCTAACAGCACCAACATCATCGAAACCAGAGTAAATCTAAATTGTCTGGATGTGGTGGGTGAGATAAATACTATTTCTTGGGATGAGTACATCGTTAGTCTAGTGGCCGTAAACGCGATTGCTGATCATGAGGTCCTGCGTTTGATTCCCGGGTCAGTCCAAAATCAGTTATAAGTTTTTCTGTCAAGAAATTCTGAATAGCAGCCCGGAGCAAGAAAGTTGGCAGTGTTTCATCTCCGTGCCTTGGAAAGCAAGTAAAGCCGTTGGTTCTGTGCCTGATCTCTCTCCGGTCGTGTCGGATTACTGTCCCATCAGACTATGAGAGTGTACTTGTGCACTATAACATTGTCCTGCTTTGATGGCTACTCTACGTTGAGACTTGGTGTGGATGATATTATATTCCTAATGCCGAGGGTGGACCTGGGCGGGGCGCGTGGCGGCGGTGCAGCGAGAGCGAATGCATGCGGCGGCGCAGCTCCAGCATCTTGCCCATAGTCACCGCGTTCTCCTGCAGCCCGCTCGCCCCATTACTAGTCCCGCCCGCCCAACGCTCTGTTGAGCGCTCCGCCAGCTGCGACATGGACGACGAGTCTGCGAGAACAAACAAACATGTATTTGACCAACACAACATTTAGAAACAGAAATTCGTAGTACAAATTACAAATTGGTAATAATGCTGTTGTGTGATGTCAAACAGGATCTCGCCTCAGTGATAATCTGTAGGGGTACCACAGCACTGATTTTTAACTTTACGTTCAAAAATAATTGTGCGTGTAGTTGTGTACACACATATGAAATGAAATTTCTTAACGACATAAACCCGGTAAAATGTTACAAGAAAATGTGACCTTTTTGTTTTCTTACCATACCATACTAAATTACTCCAATGCGTTTATAAAGAAGTTATTCTGAATATCATTCAGGCTACTAGTTGAACGGCGCTTTTTAGTAAAGAGGCTAGGATATTGATTGAACGGCTAATTAAGCTAGTTGGCTGCGACACATATATAATATACCAAAGATTGGACGGAGTTATTCCAAAGGGATCCAGCTCACAAAAAGCAATAATTAAATCTATCTGTACATATAACTAAAATTGAAGTCTGTCCATTACAGCCTATTAAAGTCCACTGCTAAACACAGATTGCCTTATGGAAAGATATTTGCCATAGTCGCCACACTTGGCGGGCTGCTTGGCAATCGCAGTTTCTTATTTTCTAGTCGTTATTAGAAAGATGCTGCTGCTCATCTCCTGATTTGTTTCTCTCTGTCGCCTCTTACGATACCCACAGAATGATTAATTAATTGGGGGTATTAGAGTAATTTGCTAATAATATGGGTAATTAAAAAAATCATTTGCTAACGACACTACCTGAGGGTATAAATATGAAATTTCGTCTTGATAACTTCATTAATTCTTATGTAACCTTCAGTCGTGGATGCTACGGGAATGACTGACTCGACAATGTTATAAAAAAATCGAACACCGCACAGTGATTAAATTCCGCACTAAACAAGGAAAATTTCAAAAAAACACTCATGAAGAATGGTGGCCGTTTACCAAGTCTCTATTTCTTCAATGTCAACTGTACAGAAATGGTCAAATGAATTCAAGAGGCTGCGAAAGTATCGAAGATTACCCCGCCCGGGTGGGCCAATCACAGCCGCTACAGAAGAAAATGTGAAAATTATTGAAAAACTTGTATTAGAAGATGCACAAATAAGAATTAAGATGTTAGTAGAAATGACTAACCTATCCGTTGGTACCATGAACACCATATTGCATGACTATCTCAACAAAAGTCACTGATGAGCAAGATGGGTGCCGCGAATGCTTACTGCGCGTCAAAAACAGGCGAGGGTTGACTGTTGTATAGAGTTTTTAGAGCTGTGTTGTAACGGCTAATAAGTGTTTTCGATAGGATAGTAGGTAGGTAGTACAGTAGATGAAGTGTGAGTACACCACTATGACTGAGAGTAAGCAGGAGTCTTTATTAAACTTAGATAGGACCGCCCCCACAAGAAGTTCAAAGTCACTCCATCGGCCGGTAAAATCATGACCACAGTGTATTAGGACTTCAGAGGAGTACTTTTGATTGAGTACACACAAAAAGGTGAAACCTTAAAAGCAGACAAATACTCAGACACTTTATGCCGTTTGAGAGAAGCAATAAAAGAAGAAAGAGGAAAGCTGACCAAGGCAGTAGGGCTGCCTCATGACAACGCACCGGTTTACACGGTGCGGCTATCGAAGGCTGCTGTACGAGACTGCGGGTTTTAGGAAATTAACCACCCACCATACAGCCCAGATCTAACCTCTTGTGACTACTTTTTATTTCCAAAATTAAAAAAAGACCTTCGGGGAAAGCGATTTGCTGACGACAATGAGCTCAAGTCCGCTGTAAATGAGCATTTTTAAGGCCAAGACGAAGAATATTTTTTTTAAGAATTTGTAAAGCTTTTTTTACAAACAACTAAATGTATTTATGTCATGGAAAACTATATTGAAAAATAAAAAAATGAATGCCCCTCGTATATTTATTATTTAGGTTGGAGATTTAAGAGTGTAAAAAAGGTGGTGCTCACACTTGGCGTGGTCCAGTGGTGAATAGGTGCCGTCTCGATTCTCGCGCACGCGCAGCATATTGAGACGCTCGCCGTCGCGGAACACCAGTACCGTCACCTTGCACCCGCTGCCCCCCGCCACCCCTCCCCCACCAACACTCTCACCCCACTCCAACTCCTCCCTGCGGTGAAACATGATGATAAAGATCCTCTTGGATATAATGCACACTCAAGCCAAAGACTCCCAATTGTGCAATGGTGAAAAATCACTTATGGTTGGGTTGGATTTCTTGCTAGTTCTTCCCAGAACAGAGGTTCTTTTTGCGAACCAGTGGTAAATGAAAAAAATGACTTTCAATAAGTATTGTTTATAATCTACATTAAATAAAAAAGTTTCTGTTTCTGTTTCTATGATTTGCTTGCACCAAACACTAAATACTAAAAATCTTTGCTTGTTTCCACTACACACCTTATATCTATGAAATATTCATGTTTGTACAGAAGCAAATTTAAATTCCCATAGTCATCGAGATCCAAATACTTAACGATAATCACAGAATAAGAAAATATGGTAAAAGTAGTTTATCTATGTGTGTACGCTTATACATATCGCACTGATAGTACAATACTGTTGTAACTCAAAAAGTGACTTTTTTCAGAATCGTCGAAAAATGTATTATTCACTTCCTGTTATAAATTATAAAAAAATTGATGCTTTATTAGGTTTATTAATAAAATTAACGCAATTATCATTTAACATTTTTTTTTAATTTGCCGGTAGTAAATATAATTACCAATTTTTGAGTTAAGACTGTATTGTCCGGAACAAAGTTTTCAGAAAGATGAATTATTTTTAGTTGTATAGTTATTGTCGAAACATTTTGAGTTACTACAATTTTAAGCTGACTTTTTTTCTGTGGTTTTGAGTAACATTTTGAGTTACAACAATTTTTAAATTTGGTTTTTCAACTTTAACATAATTATTTTCATACTTAGGACATTGATAAATAAAACCAGGTAATCAAGAAAAACAGTCACATATTCAGTCTTTATTTATAAAAAAGATAATTAAAATGTTATTTAAACATTTGTACTTAGTTAAATAAAAAAAACTTCCCGAACAAGTACAAAATTTGTCTTAGTGTAAAAAACAGGGGAAATTAAAATACTATAATTATACATACATATAAATAATTAATTACTATTGAAATTGCACAGTAATGGTACGTTGTCATTAAACTGGACCTAGGCGAAAGAATTTATATTATAATAAGTATACTTAAACAAGTTTAAGGGAGCATTAGTTATAAATAATTAACAATACAAATCACGATATTAATAATAATACTTTTTTTAGTTAGTTAAAACTAATCAATCACAGCTCGAAAGTATGTTTCATAATAGGACCTGGGAATTATATTTTTGTCGAGCAGTTCTTTTATGTCTCTTTTTTTATTTTGATTTAAAGGTATTTTACTCGTATATGCTTGTGTTGGTTCCCAGCTCGTCGTGTATTACGTACGGAAACATTATTGTAGTTTTTATTTTCGTAAGAATTTTTATAGAAAAAAGTCATTGGGTGTTCCTTTACAACATGAAGCACCTTAATATCGTGCCATTTTACTTGGTTTCTATCCGTGTTCACATTAAAATTGTTACCCCACTGCTCTTGAAGTAATTTAAGATCATAAAATTTATCATTAGTCATTTCATTGACTCTATAAGGTTGTCCCGTCTTTTTAGCGGTCTAAATTAAAGTGACGTATTGTTGTGGAACATAGATTGGCGCAGATTTAAGGAAGCGCTTTACTTGCTTTTCAATTACGCTGTGCACATTGTCACCCTCATTTTGAGAGTGACCACAAATCAGAAATTTGTGGGTTATACTTTTAACATCCAATTTTTGTACCGCATAAGCGTAAGCTGCAAGGAGATACTTATTCTTTTGTTGGCCACAGCAGTTATCAAAGTAAAATATGAATTCTAGTTCTTTATTAGGATTAGCCAGTGTATATGTTTCTATATAATTTAGTATGCAACTCACAATTTCTATCGCACCTCGATTTCCCTCAGTTTCGTCCCAGAAGAAACATTCAACGTTTTTAGCATGTAAGTCGCTCACAGTAAAGTTAAAACAATTAATCCTACTTTTGTAATAAAATAAAGAAATTTGACCCTTTGGTATCGGCATTACAGCCTGTAAGTCATAGACAGCGACAATTGTGTTGTCTACCCTGGCTTTATCTATTTCTTTCTCTCTTTTGGACAATTCTTTTTCTTTCAAGTGATTTTCGTAAACTATAAAAATCCTTTGTTTTCCTTCTTCGTCAGCATTTTTATAACTTTCGCAGAGATCACACTGATCTTTCTTTGGCGTATGGACGGAAATATTAAATTCTTTATTAAAAATGCGGTTAAAAGTAGATGCAGAAGCAGATTGTAGGTTTTCTTTTGTACGATTTTCTTTGTGGTCACGGTATAAATCGGCTAAAGATTTATCACACTGAATGTACTCCCGTGATGTCTGGGCTATAAGATAATGTGATTCGATCCGTGGTATGCCATTAATAAATTGTTTGACACTATCATAGACTTCAGGTTCCACAGTGCATTGGTTACCATGTTTCCCTCGCATATCTTCCAGTACAAAACCAGTCTCTGTTTTTTTGATAATGCTGTAGCAATTGGTCTGTCGTTTATTGCGAGTGTTAATTATGGTTTAGCTGGAAATTAAATACGGTATTTAATTTACGTAAATTTTGAGTGGATGAGTATCTGTATTTAGGTTTAATGTGATTAGTATGTCTAATTATAAATTCTCTTTGTTTTTGTAAATCTCCCAAACTCCAATAATTCTTGAAAATGTTCTGTCTTGATGTCTCATTTAGTTTTGAACCACAATTTAACCTGCATTTTTCGCCACATGTCGGTCCCATCTTCCTTGCAGGTACCGGTTTGTTAGTCACTGATTGGTATGCTTTACCAGTATTTCGAAGTGTTTTAGCTATTTTAGTTTTCCAATTTAATACATTACGTACCCTCTTTTTGCCTTTTCTGTTGTGCTGCACTTCTGAGGAACCATTTGACTCTGTAGCCGTTTGAATTGCTGATCTACTAATTGATGCAACGGAACTTAAGGCATTCTCAACTTCCTGATCTGAGCTACTTGATGAAGAGCTACTGGAAGAAGAGCTACTTGACTAAGAACTACATGACGATTTTGTCGCACCACTCGAAATAAACTCGGAGCTTTACTGGTTGAACCAGGAATAAAATAAGGGTCACAGTCGGAATCATCAAAATCACTCTCATCAGAGTGCAGGGGTGAAATGTAATATTTCGTTTGGTTGGATTGGGTCATTGATTCAACATTACTAGACGTACTGAGTGTATTGTTCACGTTAATTTCTTGAAGAACTGGATTAATTATTGTAGAAGGTGAAGTTATCGAGGACGCCGTTTGTTCTTTCGCAGCTTTGTTGTCATCATTCTGAGACCATTTATTGTTTGCACTCACCGGTTTCAATGATGAAAGTTCGTCGTTTTCCTTCCCCTGGTGATTTTTTGACCTTGTTTTTGTCGCCATATCCACAAGCAATCGCCTACGGTGCATACTTATTCTACAAATAAAAACAATTATTTATTGGAGTAAGTCACCTTATACGACTATATTATATGTCAACAAGAATGTAATAACTCTAAATATTTAAAAAAAATAGTTAATAAGAATATTCTTATTTTTACTTTAGCATGTTTGAATGCGTAACTTTAAATGCTGTAAATTTGTTAACATTTAAACAAATAAGTATTTGTTTAAATGTTAACAAATTATCACAAGAAACAAGGTAATTAAAATTCTTCAACAAAACTGTATTAAGTCTAAAATTATTTACTAAACCAACAAGAATGTCGAAGTAAAAATATTATTTTAAATGTCATTTTTGTGAATCAATAATAGTGTAACAACTAGAAATACACCAAATTTATCTTTAGGTTTAAATCAACTATAATGTATTAACTGGAATTAAATTGTTTAACTTTTACATACCTGTTCAGCAATAACGTTCCAATTCGAATTAATACGGTCTAAAACACAATGCGGCACACCCTTCTTAGCCGAGTTTCGATCGTAACTAAAGATGAAGATGATACAATATTGGTATTGGGTGGGGGTTTACAACAGTCGGTCAATCATAAACAATGACAAATGGAGCTATCTCTTATTTGTTTATTGCACTATTCTAACGACGGTATTATTGACGCGTAGGGAACTGAATTTTGCGTTTGAATATGATGTTATCACATATTGAATATATTTTGAGTTACAACAGTATTATACTATTAGTGTAATAAGATACCTAATAACTAAAAATTTTATATAACAGATTATTTAAATTTCAATTGTATGAATGGTCAAATGATAATAGCTTCTATAGCATTAAGGCTTTTCGCAGCCATGAATGTCAATGATATAAAAATTGCATGCTATGTGTTATGCATAGCAAAATATGCTGATCTGTAACTTTATGTAAGATCTTTTTATACCGTGTTTTATCCAAATAAACTATTATTATTATTAGAATTATAGTCTGTTCGCTTAGATATATACGGTCGCCTTTGTGTCACGCCGTCATGGCATGTGCCGTATCTCTATCTTGTTCAAGACGCCGCCGTGACATCATATAACTCGTACGAATTAACTTGAGACCTGGGCCGATGACGTAATTGTCAATGTACGGTGTGCAAAATAATGCGTTGTAATATTTTTTTATTTGAAAATTTTAAGATTTGCATGAGATTATTAATAAAAACAAAATAAAATGTTCTGGCAAGGGGTGAAGTAATAAGTGATATACTGTTGCCATTTTTATATATTTTAAATATTTATTTATTATAATATATATAATATTATTTTTAGTTAACGCGTCAAGGAAGGACAAAGAAATAAACATACACACTTTCTCATTTATAATATTATTAATTTATTTATTATACACTTTATTGCACTATAAAAAGTGTTACAGATTCGTACACAATAAAAAGCAAGAGCAAGTGTCCGTGCTTGGCTATGTATTGTCTTTCCTCCCATCTTTTTTTAAAAATAAAAAAGGCGGAGTAACTCCTAAGCGTCACAAGAAAACGGCACAACACAACGTCCAAACTTACACAAACTAACGTTCAAGTATAACAAAAACAAACAAAAGTCCAAACCAAACAACAAACAATTATCAAAAATATCGAACTAGAGTCGAGACGCGTATCCGTAACAAAAATGCTATCGGTACTGAGCGCGCACGGCCAGCGCGGGACGCGGTGCGGGGAGTCGGGAAGGGGGTCGCATTCCAGCGGAGTCTCAAGTTAATTCGTACGTGTTGTAGGTCGCCCGGTTGCGGCGTACACCCGCAGGCGAATTTTGTATTTTAAAACGAAGCGCCGTAATGAAAGGTTCTTTGCTACCTAACTTGTGTTTATTATTTATATTCGTATTTTATTACAATAACCATAACAATAAAATAGTATAATAAAATAGCTAATAAAAATATTAAAATAAAAGCAAAATAATAAGGGCGCCTCCTGGTGTACCGAGACTATCTTAGCGAACAGAATACAATCAAAATGAAAGCAGGATTAATGTTGCAGCCCACACACTGCACTTTATACAATAAAACAGGTAAAAACCAGAGAAAACAGAGACTACAATATCCAAATTTTCTATACAAACCTATCAGGAGGTGGCCTTTCCGGGGGCGGAGGCCGACGAGTGGCGACGGGGCCGCCTCGCAGAGCCAACACGAGACGAAGTCTTGCGCCGGCAGAAACTCCATGGTCTCGTAAAGAAGCACCATCGGCCAATTCACGCAAGTTGTACACAAGGTGCTGTTGTGATACAGGGATGCCTGTGAAATAAATTTTTTGTTAGCTTTTGCATAAGCTATGTGGGGAAGGTCCCATTTAAAAAAATAATTTCGCCAGGTTTCTCGCTGGTTCTTCTCTAGACAGAGGTTGTAAAATTCAAACCAGTAATTAATTAAACATAAGAATGACTTTCAATAAGTATTCTTTATAATCTATAATGAATAAAAAATCTATTTCAGAAGAAATTATATGTTAATTTAACAACATAAAAAAGAGTAGCTTAATATTTGAAAAAATAGATATACATAACTACATTTACAATAAGTAAGAGTTGTTTAAGCCATCTTTTGTAGTGAAACAAAAAATAAAGTCAAAAGTAGTTAACTTTTCATGTAAAGATCTCAGGTAAAGAAATCAGTTTTAATTAAATACATTTTTTTAATTTAACAATCAAACAACTTAATTAATAATTTAAAACAATCTGTAGATTGATTAAAAGTACTTTTACGGATTTTATCGCGTTTTATTTATATTATTTTTGGGTGCTGGAAAACACCCGAAACGTTGGGTATTAAAAATAATATAAATAAAACGCGATAAAATCCGTTAAAGTAGTTTTAATCAATGTATAGTGTTCGCGTAAATATAAGAAATCACAATCTGTAGATTTTCAAATTACTAATGTATAATAATAATAGTAATAAAACTCATTACCGATTGTACAAATATACCAGTCAATTTGTCAAACAGGAAGCTAGCAATTGTTTTGCAAGAGAAAAATAAATGCAAGTGTTGCAATGGCAGTTCATAGTGAATTACAAGGTTGGAACATGTCCAAGAGAAAACACTAGCTCTCACTTCACTTCTTTTTAAAAATAAACAAAAGCTTACATAGTAGGAACTAGTCTATAATGGCTCATATATATACATATAAATAAAACTGAGGTCTGTAATATTGATATAACTATCTTTTATTTGTTTGTCTGTCAGTCTGTCTAGACTAATGTTTGAAATGGCTTTTTTAGTCAAAGAATTGCTATGATGGTCTTTGATCATAAACTTAAATCTAAATAACATCTCAACAAAAGGTCCTACCCAGGCGTAGCCAGGTCATGTCGCTAGTTGAAAATAAAAATCTACATTACAGACAAAATACAATACAAATCACACACAAATGAACTGATTCTATAGTAAAGATATTGTAAAAATAATATGGAAGGAATCTAAAATATATTTAAATATCAAACCATGCAAGGACTAAATTTTTCTACAAAATATAATTCAACTAAAAATAGAGAATAACTTAATAAATTTATTTAATTTAACTTAAAATAGAGAATCTAAAATTTAAGACCATATAATATAAAAATAGTCCATATAATTTAATAAATGCTTTAATTCTTCGCCATCTTAGTAATGACTTCCAAAGCTTTTTAAAGTATGTGCAAATTATTTAATTCTTTTGAAGTCGGTTCTTACTTTTAAAGTTTAATTGTTCCAGTGTTATAGTATTCATAACCATAATATACTAGTTATTGTATAATATAATAGGGTTAGCAAACCTATTTACATTAAACACAGGTATGCTAAGATGACTTAGTGCCTCTGAGTGTGTTGCACTTGAGGCACTATCATATCGCCCGCTCAGTTGATAGCTTCTTACAATACTGAAGTATTTTTTAAGAAAATAAGGGTGACAAACGAGCATACAGTAAACATGATGCAGAAGTGTTGTCACCCTAAAGTTTAAGATGGAGTTCCTCATTTCCAGTAAAAAGGAGTCTATGATTCTCTACACTTACTATAGAAAACATAGCAACATTGAGCTGTAATTTTATACTGGTTTTCTGTAAGAGTGTGGTCATTCTCCAGTCTATTTCATTTGTCATTTGTGATACAACAAAACATAGCTGAAGCATGGCTCTTTGACATGTAAACAGTTGAACAAACCAAATTATTAATTAATAATAAATTATGATATAGCAAATTTTAATGATTATGGTTCATAAAAGATAGCTTGATCTCTGCGACAGCTGTCAGTAAAATCACGCCTATGAAGTCCTGAATTTGTTAGTAGTACAGACAGTACCTGTCAATGTCATACGTTATGGACATGCCGACCTAATTAGTGCCGCCATCTTGTTTGATATGAACCTCCATTGTCTTCAGTATGAGTGCCGACGATTTGTATACGCTACGTGTTTTGCGTTCTCATTACTTTGTTTGTTACTATTGCTGTTAATTTGTTGAGTTTTTCTTGTTGGCATAATGCCAAAGAGAACGAAGAAAACCATTTTGAACAGTAAAAGTCGTGAGTTTGTGATTCGCTTACGTGAATATTTTGAGCGAGAGAACCAAAATGGCGACCGCTATTACCCATGGAGAATGTATGTGATAGAGTTGCAGATGCTCTTGGCATTGGAAATGCGATAGAAGAAAAGTATGGCGAATCTTCAACCGCAGCATTGACTGAAGACGAGGACAAAAAACTTGCAACACCAAATAAAAAAAGGAAAAAGGCTGCTCCTGTCACAAACATTGACAACTTTGACGCCGCTGCGACTCGCAACCATGTATATGGTTACTATACACGGGGCGAATTGCCTACATTGAAAAAACTTGCCGCGTCCCTCAAAGACGCAGACTTGTTCAAAGGAAGCTTGCCATCTCTAACGAAGATATTAAAAAATATTGGTTTTTCCTATAAAAAAGTGACAAAAGAAAAATTATTATGGAAAGAACCGACATTGCTCTTGCTCGAGTGAATTTTCTCCGAAAAGTCAAAAAAATCACAAATTGGGACAAAGTAGTATTTCTAGACGAGACATTGCTAAACGCCAATCCTAAGCTTGGACCGATGATACTGCACAATCAACCACCAAAGTACCCGAAGGAAAAGGTCAAAGATTAATCATCACTCATGTTGGGATGTCATCTGGTTTTGTGCCTAATTGCCTATTGGCATTCAAATCAACTAAAACTACTGAATACCACGAGGAAATGAATTTTGAAAAATTTAAGGAGTGGTTTTTAAAATTATTAGATAATTTAAAGGAGCCACATTGCATTATTATGGATAACGCCCCATATTACTCAGTCTAAAAGCACAAACCACCAACTTCGGCAAACAGAAAATTAGAAATCATTGCATGGCTTCAAGAAAAAGGAATAGAGGCCAATGAAACTATGCTTATAAATGAATTATTAGGACTTATTGGTCTGCACAAACCTAGTACTCCAACGTATGTCTTAGATGATATAGCCCATGAAAAGGGTCATACTGTCATAAGACTACCCCCGTACCACTGCCAGTATAATCCGATCGAGCTTATCTGGGCCCAAGTCAAAGGTTTATTTGCTTGAATTTCAGTTAGATAGGTACTTTAATTAACTACTGTTTAATTAAACTTATTAAAAATATGTTTTCTTTTGAGGTTACGCTGCCAGATACAACACAACACTGCCTTTCACAGCAAATAAAATGTTTCAGTTATTAAAAAGTGTGGTCGACAATGTATCTGCAGAAGACTGGAAGAAGGTGGTAACCAAATGCAGAAAACTAATGGAAGAAGATTGGGAGCGGGACATCCGATTTGATAATATTTGCGAATATAATAAATTTACAAGATTGTTCTAGCAATTCAGAAACTGATTCAGATATGGATTTGGGATGTACTCCTTCAAGAGAATAAATGCATTTTATATTTAAAATATTTGTTTAATTTAGTAACGTTTGTAATTAAATTAAACCCAATTATTATATGTTACATTAGCATCGATAATAGTAAGAAACATTGATAATTTCTATCAACAATTTTTTATATCCTGACAACCCTATGTTGAATGTCAGTTTGACATATGTCGCAGAGATCAAGCTATCTTTTATCGTCTATAGAATAGAATATCTCATTAAATATTGTTCTAACTACTACAGCTACAATAGTTTCAAAATTATTATTTCAATAGTGAATTTATCATCAGACTTTATATTACAAAAATAAGTAGAAACTATATTTATAATTGAATTGTAGTAAGTAATGTCTCAAACAGTACCAAATAAAAATGGACATACACATGTAAACAAAATAACAGTGATTGTTGTAATTAACTAAAAAATATAGATTATATTACATAATATAATACAAAAAAATTACTTTCAATAATTATTATTGAAAGAATTTTTTTATATTTTCCACTAAATTGAAAAATATGTGTCCTCAGAAAAACCAGCAAACTCTCACTTTTTTAAACATTAACATAAATTATAAAAAGCATACATAAATTATACAGTAATAGAATACAATTATTTTTATGAAATATAAGATAATCAGCATGCTGTAATATGTTCATTCTTATATTGCATAATATTATAATAACCCATATTGTACAGATTTCGTTTAACAATATTTTTAAACTTATATTGTGGTTAAACATTTTCTGGGATTTTGTTATAAAAGCATATACATTACCCCTTAAATGAGTTACTAATCCTGTGGGGTATAGTAGCTGGTATTACAAGGTATTGTTTGTTCCTAGTAGTTAAAGTATGTATATTTTTATTGTTATTAAAGTTAGTTATGTTTTTATATTTACATTACATACATTACACTTTTTAAAATATATTGCGATGCTAAAATTAATATATTTATTTGTAAACTTTTCTATAAGGGAGTTGATATAATTTAAGTTATAAATTGCCCTAATAGCCCACTTTTTCAAAACAAATATATTTTCAACGACAGTCACATTTCCCCATAGTAATATGCAGTAAAATGTCACACTATGAAAATAACCCAAATAGACCAATGTAACTGTTTCCATATTGGTGACACTTCTAATCTTTCTAACAGCATATGATGCAGAACTTTGTCTGCTTGCTAATTTAGACATATGTGGATTGGAGCCATTTAAGCCCCATTGGAGCTTTGCATCAATATTAATACCAAAAAATACAGTGGAATCCACACAACTCAACTTTTCAGAGCACACTGTTCTTGAAAATGTTTTTTGTATCTACTGTTTTTTTGTTGTGATACTTCTTTATCGACATAATGTAGAAATTTAGTATGTATTGAAAAGTCACATCTTTTTTTATTGTTTCACCACCAGGGCTGCATGAATAATAAGGAAGTTTCACTTTGTATGTTTGTACACAATTACCTAGACTAGTTTTTGCTGTTTAAAGAAAATTGTCAGTCATTTATAAAATGTCAACATAATGTCAGTTCATTGTTAACTTTTTAATTGGTAGCTGAGATAAGCTATTTGTCCTTATCCATTTCGCTGTTATAGTTCGGCCGTTCAGAGAATGCGTTCCTGACACGTCGCGCTTGAACTGACGACGTAACTTTGTAATGGCGTTGCAGTTACGATAAAAATATTTTTGCTGGTTGTTTACCGTTTTAACAATTGATGAGCATTAAAACAACATTATTATATCAATAATCAATGAATGTTATAATTTTGTGCCAAACTGAGTGTCAAATAACTTGGTAAACAATATTTTTCTAAATATATACTGCTAAGCCTAAAAGTGCAAACACACAATTATGCGTGGATGTAAGAGGCAAGTATTCCACCCCTATGTATGTATGTATGTATATATACTGCCCTGTTACAAGGTTATGTCAGCGCTTTATATTTGTAGTGCTGTGCTAACAATAACAGGCAATAACCGTATCGTAATCTGTTCTTATACAGTTATACTTTATAAAATAATACGTTTTGTTTTTCTTTTTAAGAATTTGATTTGGTAACCCCAAATGGCGTTATGGGCCGCCATTTTGTGACGCTAAAACAGTCGTCTATTGTCGTTTCGTGCGCATAGACCACGTTCTTCAAGTATTTTCGATCTGTTTTTATTTGATCACCCGGCTTTCGTTTAATGGACTGTTTCTGCTTTTCAAACTGACATCGGCGCTAAATCGGACTTCGATTTTGTTTTGTATTGCGTTCTTTTTACTTTTGGTGCGTAATAATGCCTAAAAGTGGACAAACATAGAAAAGTGGAGCCCGTGAGTTAATCATCAAGCTGCAAGATTACTTTGAGCGGGAACGGCAAAATGGCGGACCCCTGTTACCTGTCGAACAAGTACAAGAACGCGTCTCTCAGAGCTTGGAGTTAGCAAACGAACGATAACAAATATTAATAAAGAAAAGTTCGGCTCTACTAGCACGGAAGATAATATTTCACGTACTCCGAAGAAGAAATGTAGAACTAAACCCGTGACATATATTGACACCTTTGACGTAGATGCAATCAGAAATCATATATATGGTTACTATTCCAGAAATGAATATCTCAACAGGAAGAAGCTTTTGGCATCGTTAAGAGAAGCAGGACTGTTTAGCAGGGGTAAAACTACTTTAACCAAAATCTTAAAAGATATTGGTTTTTTCGTATAAAAAAACAGACAAAAGAAAAATTTTATTAGAACGATACGACATAATTTTAAAACGGATAAGTTTTTTGAGAGAAGCAAAAAATATTGATAACTGTTCACACAAGTTTGTGACTGTGTGACTCAGTCACAAGAGATGACTGGGCAAAGGTTGTTGAGAAGACTAAAAACCTGATTGTGGAACATTTTGACCAAGATATCAGGATTGATTCTGTTATTGATAATAATATAATTATACATGTAGGCGAAGATGATGATGAAGACACCACCTCCTCAAGCGAATCGGAGTCTGATTAATATTCTGTACGCACATTCAATTCAATGTACTTTATTGCATAGAAATACAGATTGTAACTTTGTAACAAAGAATAAATAAAACAATTTTATTATATTAATATTACCTTTTTTTGGTTTCCACTTAAATTACTAAAATATAAATTTTAAATGATTCCGCCAATTTAAAACGAAAATAATCTTAAAAATAATGCAGCGGTTCATTTTGGAGGAACGGTAAAAAACTCAGTGTTATGTTGTGCCCATCATTAGTCGTGACTAACTAACAGGTGTCAGGAACACATTCTCTGAACGGCCGAACTATAATTATACTTTAGCCATCTTAATTTTAACAGTAAGATGTAATGATTTGGCTGTAAAACACACTATTTTAAATATTTTAGAATAGTCTGACATATTCTCTAAATGCCTGTATATTATTATATGATCTTTTATGGTAAATTTCATATAGCCTTTGTCTGACCCATTCTTTAAATGACTTGACAACTGTTACAGGATAATGTATTAAAGGTATATATATTTTATTAAATTCACTTAAAAGGTTAAATAACACAATATATAAATACTCATCATTGTTTTTGTAAGAAAGCAAACATAAGCTTTTTAACTATATTACTCCTAAGCCTCTCCAGATATTTAACATTGATTGTAACAAACATAACTTTTTCTTTATGTTACAACCTCGTTGTAACTTTCTTGTTTAATAATAACAATATGAAAAATAATAATTCTTAATTTTGAAAATAAGTTCAAACCACTGAACTTAGTTTCAGAATTATCAATTTATAGATTTGGTCAACACCTGTCAAAATACTGTCAACACAAGTTGTACTGCACTCAGCAATATTTTTTTATAGAATAAGGGTGACAAACGAGCACACAGTCCACCTGATGATAAGTGGATGCTGTGGCCTATAGACATCTACATTTATCCTAGATTAAGAATCAAAATGCAGATGCATTGTCACCCCTGAGGACTCAGATGGAATGTCTTGTTTCCAGTAAAAAAAGGGTCTTCAGATCTCTACACTCACCATACGAAACATAGCAATATTAAACTGTTATTATTACACTGGTATTCTGTGAGAGCGTGATCCTTCCCCGGTCGAGCCGACCCATTTGTGCTACAACCATAATATAGCTGCAGCGTGGCTCTGCCACTTATAACATGTGTGGCTTTTAAGAATAAATTATCAACATTGTATAATTTGAGCAATGAGCTACAATAATGAACTTACGGTCCATCTGACGGTAGGTGGCTACTACCGTCCATGCACACCTGTAGGCAATTGCAAACAAAGAAGACAATAAATACATTTCGTTACCTCTGAGGACTAAGACAGAATGCCTCATATTCTGTAATTATCATCTCAAATTGCTTGTCTATAATAATTAATAATCAATAGTTATATTTACAATTTCGTATTATGTAGAAAACTAGAGTATGATCCTTAGAGCATGCCCTGCTGGAATTGCAGTCAGATTTGTCCTAAGTCTGAGATTTATAGGTCCCACATATACATATATATAAAAATTAAAAAAGACAACAAAACAAATATGCCAACTTTGTTACTTGCATAGAATGTGATATAAGGAAACTAATAAGAATTGTGTTTGTGTGTTAAAGGCCAGCCACCAATCACTTCTTTCTATCTAAACCATATTTTTAGCTAAACAGTCTGAGTAGCTTGCTGCTCTGGACTCTACTTACACCCTTGGGGATGATACTATGTTATTTATCCTTTACTTGAAGTTAGAATTAAATATTATAAGATCATATCAAGGCACATAACAAAATTTAAAGAGTACTGTGCATCTGCCATCAAGGCAAATAAACCCTACAATGAGAGAGGACCATTTATTTATATAAAATTGAAGTGACAAAGAAAATTAGTCTTGTGTGGAGTTTTTAAATAAAATTTTATTTTAATGAGATAACAAGTATTGTGTTGACACAACAGTATCTTCTATTAGTTATTTGTTTATTGACACTGATTATTACAAACATTGATTTAAACAGTGCTTCATACATCAATTATCTTAAGAATGTATTTATATTTTTTTTAAATAAATGATTTATTAAAAGTAACAAATCACAAGGTTTTATTCTAAAATTTTTGTTGTTTACTTATAACAATTTCAATATTTCATGCTTTTAACAAATTTAACATCTTGTAGAAAACAGTAGAAGCACCATGAGTCATAAGTGTTATAAGTGATTTTAATTAGTTTATACTCAAGATTTGATGTTTGCTTATACGACGAAATACGAAGTTGTGTAATAGTGTATCCTGCTCAAACTCACCTTCTACTCTGAATATCTTCGATTTTATAGCAAATATTGTGTCGGACGGCGACACTGTCATTTCGAAAGCCGTCCCTGTAAGGGTTTCAACCAACACTTCCATAGTGGGTTGACTAGGGCCATCTTCTTGAAAACCCTTCGACCTGTTGGACAGTCTTTCTGGGTATCCATGTTGTGACATTTCACACGCGGTACGCACAAAACTATCTACGCAACATTGCAATTCCAAAAAAATGTAAAGCCCATAAATTATGTTAAATTATATAAATAGGACATTCTAGGACAATCACTTGATGACGACGTTAACGTGTGTTGGTATGTCGTCAGTTTCTGACATTAAACATGTCTGTTGAACAAACAAAAAATTTTTATGAGATAATTCCTATTACTTTATTATCCAAAATAATATTACACAAACAAGGACTGAACAGAATGCGAAAATATCGACCACAGATAATAGAGATAGAAAACAAAACTTAAAGCAGAGCCGAGATTGTTTTTTCGACTATTGTGGTTTTGGCTCTAAGGCCTTAAGCCTAGAAAGGTCATCATACACTTAAACATACAAGACTCTTATTCGTAATAAATACAGAGCCTTTAATAATATAAAGGATGTTAATTTATAATAGTATAACGCTTAAAGTATGAAAGTTAGAGAACAGGAGAATGATCGCCGTAGAAAATAGTGTCCCAGAAATATGGACACCATAAATGAGGCGCTGCGATTGCAAAGTTCGCTCAATAAAAGTCATTTTCAGTCAATCAATAGTTTAATAAAGTTTTTGAACTTTGTGTATGTCAAATTTTGTATATTAAGAAGCAATTCCTTAAGTAAGCAATTCCCGTAATAAGCTGCATTTTAACGCAAAATTTCAAATTCGGGTTAAAGCAAAACCATGCATAACGGGATCTCTTAAAGCCATGGAGTATAGAGGTAAGGAGGACAATCTCCCATTATTTATTACACTGTAGCTACAGTGGCGCCACCCTTATTTAGCGCTATTCTACGGACTCTTTTTAAACAGAGATTGTTCTTCTTATCTCACACTACACTACACTACACTCCATACAACAATCGCTGTAGAAAATAGTGTCCCAGAAATATGGACAAACTAAGTGAGGCGCTGCGATCGCTAAGTTACGTCAATAATTTTAATTATTATAAATATTATAAATTATTACAAATATAAATTATAAATTGTTATTATTAATATTCTTATAATATTTCATGATATTTTAATGTTTCTTTGTGTCAAAAATTATAAAATTACTTCGCATACACTATTTACCGACGACAGTGCAGCTATAAATTCTACAAATTTTCAGGGACAGACGGGCTTTGCTTTAGCACGTAGCGATCATTCTCCTGATCTCTAACCTCCATGCTCCATACGTAAAGCGGGATACTTAGAGTAATTACATACGTATGCAAAGAGAGAACCTACAATTCTACATAAATTGAGTCAATATACTTGTCTTGCTTTTTCTAATTTAATTTTCTAATGAGTCAAAAAGTGACAAATATATTCAATGATGTTGCCTATAATTCATGCGTGGAAAAAGAAATGTCAAGTGGTCATCTTTGGTCTCTTTTTACACTACTAAATAAAAAATTTAATAAGATCGTATTTATTTTATTCAAGATCCTACTGGCTGATTTATTTGACAAATTTAATTTTAACTAAGTCGTATTATTTATTGTGAGTCTCTGTTTGACGTCTTTAATATTTTACTAAAAATATTATTATAAAATGATATCTTTAAATAACACCGAGACACCTGATATTCTGAGTGAGATTGAGAGGTTCTATGGGCAGCTGTACACATCATCGTTGGAGCCACATGCAAGTGTGAGTAACAATCCAAGAGTAAGTCTTATCCGACACTATTCCGATGATATCCCGGACGTCAGTCTGAGCGAGATTACAATGGCTCTCCAGAACCTTAAAAACGACAAGTCCCCGGGCGAGGATAGAATTACAGCGGAGCTTCTGAAAGCGGGTGGAAAACCGGTACTTGTAGTCCTTCAGAGGCTCTTTAATTCAGTCCTCCATGGTGGCACTACTCCGGAGGCGTGGAGCAGAAGTGCGGTGGTCTTGTTCTTCAAGAAAGGTGACAACGCCCTCTTGAAGAACTACAGACCGATATCCCTTCTGAGCCGCGTCTACGTGCTGTTTTTGAGAGTCATTACGAATCGTCTCGCACGCAGACTCGACGACTTCCAGCCTCCCGAACAAGCCGGTTTCCGAAAAGGCTTTAGTACAATAGACCACATACATACCCTTCAGCAAATTGTACAGAAGACCGAAGAGTACATTCTGCCACTTTGCCTGGCATATGTGGGCTATGAGAAAGCCTTTGATTCCGTCGAAATTTGGGCGGTGCTATACAGTCTCTTCAGCGGTGCTAAGTTGACTGTCGGTATATCGAAGTGCTGAAATGTTTGTACAGTAGGATTACGATGGCTATTCGAGTACAGAACCAGAGAACGAAACCTATCTAACTGCAGAGAGGTGTAAGACAGGGTGACGTTATTTCCCCGAAACTCTTAACCGCTGCATTGCAAGACGTTTTCAAGCTACTGGACTGGAAAGGATACGGTATTAACATCAACGGCGAGTACATCACTCACCTTCGATTTGCCGACGATATAGTCCTTATGGCAGAATCGCTGGAGGACCTAAGCACTATGCTCGATGACCTCAATAGTGCCTCCCAACGGATAGGTCTTAAGATGAACATTGACAAAACAAAGATCATGTTTAATGTCCATGTCACACCTATGCCGGTAGTTGTTGGGAGCACCAGAGATTTTGGATAGTTCACCCCCCACAGGAAGTGAAAAATTGATTGAATGTGAGAACAGTGTAAGCCCTTTCAAAAATAACCAGCTGAGGCTAACTATTAAATTATAATATTTTATATAAAAGGAAAAACTAAGTTTGCAATTATTACTTCAGAGGTATTTTCTAAACTTCATACCGATATTAACAATCTAGAATCAGAACCAATGAACATAAGTGAAAATTTAGCTCCATCCAGTGACGAAGCTTCCATTAAATCCGAAAAGCCGGTATTGCCTTATTAAACCTGAATCAATCAATAATATCAACTAATAAAATAACTCGTAAAATGTTTCAAGCTATTTCAAATTTCCCGCGCACTCCACTGTTCGACACATGTCGACCGATGACCTCGTATTGCCTTAGCGATACTGCTGCTGTCATAAAAAATGAGTTTTAATAGAGCTAATAGTTGTCTCCCTCGCTCGCGTGGGCTTTTTTACGGGGCTTTCGAGAAGACGATCGCTCTCTTTCTAACCTATGGCAAAATATTCTATAATGAAATATAACTACGATTGTATATATTATAGCAATTAGTATAGAGATTTAAAGTCAGGCTTTTGGGAAAAAATTTGTTAAAAGCGGAGGCGCGCGGGCAATACGTTTGCAAGTTCATTTCACGTTTCAATGTTTATTTACTCTGTGTGCTTATCTTACTTTTGATATTACGAGTTCAAAATGTATGCTCTTTTAAAGATTTTTAATGAAAATGGAGGATAATAATGTTCCTTGTGATGAATTGAAGTGTGTTAAAGTGATAATCGGAGAGGAAATCTTTAAACTTCGTTGAGATAATACACAAGGTTAAGAGTGTATTTCAGACATCAATTATCGCAATTAAAAACAGTTATTGGTACAATTAAAACGTTCACCAACATTTTACGTGGACGTAATTAAATCTTTCCATAAGAAAGCGAGACGATTCCACTTATCTTATCTTATCTCTTATCCATTAGAATGTAAATAATTTTTTTTTAATTTTGTACATAGTTTGTTTGTACTTTGTTCGTGTTTTACTTTTGTTCATGTATTGTATTGGATATAAATATTTTTTCTTTCGCTTAAACAAACCCAAACGGCTTCCTTCAAAGCCACCGAAGCTATTCAATTGCTGATATGTAATACAATCTATCTAGCAGTGGTATGCCTTCTGTGTGCTTTGTTAAACACCCAGAATATGAAACTAAATAATGGAGACAGATCAAGAATTTTTATAAAACTGCTAAAAACAACAATCTATATTTTTATCAATTTATATCTTGGGCTTGCCCTAGCTTGGAGCTCTAGCTTCGCCACTGGCTCCATCCACAAGTTCAAATTGCGCTTTAGATAATTTACGTAGACATAAGTGGGAACAAAAATTATTATAGTTAAAGCTCAGAATAGATGTCATAGAGGTCAGTATCTACAACCTTGTAAAGGGGAATGGTGACATTCATATAACTATCTTTTTTATCCTGTAGGAATGTCATATGCATAAAGATTTCGGTTAGATGAGGTTTTGTTCTGTTTTTAAGACTCTCTCTATGCTAGTAATTACTCTGAGGCGGGGTATTACTGAACTGGCATATAGTCTATGCTTAGCACACACTACATAGTAGGGATAAAACGTATTTATGCTATCAGGTTTTAAAACCACTGTTTCACTTCGAATTGACCGCCCTGGTAGGAGTATAAAATACTTGCAAGTATGAAAGTATGTACTATAAGTCAGATACGGGAAGAATTTGAAACACCAGAGATGAAAATACTTGTACAGGAAAACGATCCATACCTGTATATAATGAATAAGGAACACAATCGTATTTGAGAATAAAAGCACTTTGATCTACTACATTTTTTTTCACTTATACGATTATGATTATACTTGTCTTCTTATTCATCATAGGACTACGGATCCATTTCCTATGTATGTTTTTTTAACTTTCGACGAAGACACGTCAAGCGCGGCATGGGGTAAGCGAGACGTATAGCCTCATTTATATTCGGCTCATAAGGACGGAAGGGAGAATTTAAAGTAGATTATTTTCATTTATCTTTAATATAATCTTAATAGTAACGAGACTAATTATAATATTTTTTTCTTGGAAAATTGTTTGCATAATTCTTATAAATAACATTAAAAAAGAATTGTTCTGAAAAACAAAAAAAAAGTGAGTTTGTCAGCTCCGGCACACGACTGAAATTTACTCCTTATGAACCATTATAAAATATATAGATTAGTAAATGTGGGTAAATTAATGCATTTTTATACTACTGAAAGCATGCATTATACATTTATTTATATTAATTATATACTTTATATTTATCAAAATATATTACATAGTCATGGAAACGTAAATTGATTACGTTTCCAGTACATTACGTCCACCGAGATTACATTTGCATGCGTCCATACTCCGTACCGTACTTGAAAACAGACAGCAGACACTGGCCTGCCTTGTATTTTTGGTTGAAGTTCCGAGTCCCGACTAGTCTCGAGTATTGACTGACACAGATAGAAAGACTGCGGAATAGTATAGTTAAAAAAGAACAGAACATATTACACAACACGAGTGCGCGTCCCGTTACTTTTATGTGCATTGAAATTATGTTTAAATTCAAATGACTGACAAACTAATGATTTATGGTTCATAAAAGATAAGTAGCGGCGCTGTCGTCGCGCCACAATCGAAATACACCGACGTCTAAATCACGCTATCAACATTCCGAATCAGAAACAGTATATATATAGAACATCTCCGAACTATCACATGGAGTGTTGGCCGCTCCCCGGGCAGAACACCTTGCCCGGCGGGAGATCTCCCCTTTTCCTTTCACGGCCACAGTGGTGACACCGACGTGATCTGAACACGCAACCAAACAACCTTCGGAAACTTCAAGCTTCATCATCGTCATAGAATACCCCACCCACTCGCTCCCGAGCAGATATCGTCTGCAGTCTTCATATCCTGCAAGCCATCTAGCTTCACAAGGTTCATCGCAGCACTGGAATAATAATGCTTCCTGTTCCTTCAAGCTACTCTCTGCGCTATACAGTGTTCGGCACGGCTCTGAGCCTTATTGCTCGCCTCTGCTTCACGGCACTCTCGCAGTAACGCGGATAACGAAAGGGAACGCACATATTAAATTTACATAAATTTTCAGGACAGTCAATAACACCACTAATAATTTTAGAAGCAAAAACCATATCAGTAATAACCCTGCGGTTTTCTAGAAAAATTATTTTGAAATAGATCAAATTATTTTCATATGATACACGCTTCTTATAACTTCTAAATCCACTTGCGTAAGACAAATGTCTTATAAATCTTTTTTGGATCCGCTCGATTCTCAGTGAATGTGTAGCGTAATGAAGTCTCCAGCTATCCAGACTACAGCACAGTACTCTAATATACTTCTTACCAAACTGTTAAATAAAAGAATTTTAATTTTAGCGCTTTGAAAGACTGATATATCTTATGACAAGACCCAACATCATAGATGCACGTTTAGTAATGTTTTCAATGTGGGGTACAAAAGTTAATTTTTTATCGAATATAACCCCGAGGTCTCCGATTTGGTCTAACTGCTGTATTTTATTATATCCAATGTGATAGCTATAGTCGATAGTGTTACTTTTTCTCGCATATTGCACAAAGAAACATTTACTAATGTTTAAGTCCATTCGATTTACTTCGCACCATTTAATCATTTGATCAAAATCGTTCTGTAGCTTTATTGAATCGTTTTCTTCCACAATCGTCTTGTAAATTTTTAAGTCATCCGCATACAAGTACACATGAGACCATTACATCAATTCTGGAATTTCATTTACGAACACCCCAAACAGAATCAGTCCGAGATGAGACCCTTGTGGCACACCGGAATTAATATTTTTTAAACCTGACTGATATCCATTGACCACTACAAAAAACGCTCTGTCCTTTAAATACGATTTTAGCCATTTTAACATACTACCAGTAATACCATAGGCAGCTAACTTACGAACCAATATGTCATGTGGGACCCGATCAAATGCTTTGCTAAGATCAGTATATATTACGTCGACTTGTTTCCCCGCATCAAGTGCTTCAATTAGTATTTCCGTAATATGTACGGTACCAAATTAGTGCTCATAGACCTAGATTTAACGATACCATATTGGCTAGTGGTTAAGTAAAGATTGATATGTCTCTGAATAATTGACTCTAATAATTTAGCAGACTGATAGCATAGAGATCGGCCTGTAATTTCTTATATAATCCTCACTGCCCGTTTTATGAACCGGAACGACTTTAGCTATTTTCCATAGAGTAGGAAACTGCCCAGTACAAAGAGAAAAAATGAATATAATTAATAGTGGATTAACAAGGTGTTCAGCACATCTGACTACAAAAACTGGAGGGATTCCATCAGGACCTGCTATCATACATGGTACCATGATCAATTTTCAGCTGTGCTAGGTGAAGGCTATTAATTTTTATTAATTTCAAGGACTCCGAATGGTCATAAACATAATCCTGCTCAGTACATTCAATATTTTCAGAGTACACGGATGAAAAGTGTGAAAAAAAAAGTTCGCAAGTTTCCACTCCATCAAAAGTTACTGTCGTACCGGCAGTCATTGATAGGGGATAGGCGACTGAACCACCACGTTACGCCTTGACAAAAGACCAAAACAGTTTTGGGTTTTTTTGCCATGTCACACTCTATTAGTTTTATATATTTATTGTATCAATTTGTGGCCATATGCATACATCTTTTACTTAGCAATTGCAGTTCAAGCTCATCTAGGATTTTTATATTTCTTGTGACGAAACCTAATTTTATACTTTTCTTTTAGAGTTCTAATTAGATTCCGATCAAACCAAGGTGGGTAGTTGTCGTTCTTTGACGATTTATTGGGGACAAATTTTTGATAATATCCCGAACTTTTTGGTTTTGTAGCATAATATTTACATCAATTTTGCAAGTATTATTTTATTCTAACTGCAAAGATATAAAACTAATGGTTCCATGTTATTGAAATACCAGAAATACTAACAGATAAGTTAACAGAAATGCAATAAGATAAAAATGAAAAAAAAAGTAGAATGAAACTGAAATAAAAAATGTAAACGAACAATTAATTTTCAATAATATAAGTAATAATTTATTTCTTGAAAAGTGCGTGGAGACGAGATAAAAACATAGTCTCATTCACTAGTTTAGTCATTCTAGTTTTTGAGCTATTCTGAAGTCATCGGACGGAAATCAGTTTTCATTCATCTATTCATTTTGAATTGTCTCTACTCATTCATTCTTTTCCGTCGTTCATCGTATACTGTGTCGGAGGTTAGAAAAATGGTGCGTAAATTTTATAACATAAAAAGTAATAAATAAGAATTTAAAAATCTATAAACTTATTACATCCGATATAGCGTATTATTTCTATAAATTCAATACATTTTTTGAAAGTTTTATGTATTTATTTAAGCGTAATCTTTAAGTGAGACGGCAGCTGAACATGTGGCTTCAATATTGGATTTTGGTTACAGACTCGCAAACGCCGCAACGGAGGACGCGCCAAACACGGCCGTGGTCATGTAAAAGCTGTAAGGTGCACTAACTGCGCGCGGTGCGTGCCAAAAGACAAAGCCATCAAGAAATTCGTGATTAGGAACATTGTAGAGGCGGCTGCTGTCAGAGATATCAATGAAGCCTCTGTTTATACTTGTAAGTAGTTTTAATTTAGTCGGTCGTAATATTTTATATATTAGTTCCACAACCACAACTGTATAAAGCACAGCTGTATGACTGCTCTCACCCCCAACATATTAATGCTGTCAATAATATTTACACCACCATTCGACAAATTATGGTAATCAGGGACTACTTGATTAGCGCTGGGAAAGATATTATATTTTTAAGGGTGATATCTGATTGGTAATCAGAAACTTTTGGTAGTGTTGAAAATAGATAGCATTTGAAATAGGTAGTAGTACATAATATGTCCTACTGCTGTGTATAGATAGATCTTTTATTTATTGTCCTAAGCCAAAGTAATGTAATAGGTAGGTCTAACCTTGTGATGTTTACTTTAATATAACCAAATTTTTTTCCAGCATTCCAGCTACCCAAGTTGTATGCGAAGCTGCACTACTGTGTGTCATGTGCAATCCACAGTAAAGTAGTGCGCAATAGGTCCAAGAAGGACAGGCGTATACGCACACCACCCAAGAGTAATTTCCCTAGGGACATGGCTCGTCCACAAAATGTGCAGAGGAAGTGATAAGTTTAATAAAATTAATAAAAAATATGCATTGTTTTTTTATTACTTGCACAAAAAAGTGTAAGATGACATCCATCTGGTGGTAGATCACTACACCGCACCACAACAATAACACTTATACATTGAAGTGACCAACTATGGCCTTGTGCTTGGAAGTAATATAGAGATTACAAATGTACTGGCTTTGATTCAAGGAAGATGAACAAAGCTAAGACCAAGAAATATTTTTGAACCGACATTAATATACTTAAACAAATTACCTTTAGGTAATTTGTTTAAGAATGTGGGTCCAAATTAAAAAACTAGTGACAAATTAATACATAGCTAAATAGATGTGGCAGTCTTATAACATCAGAAACGGCATCAGCTGAATTATGGTAGCAAATTATTTCTAAATATATGTAGTCAACAGCAAATTCAAAATATTTTGGAGCAAAGCTTGGCCAACATGCCAGAATTTTCTTAGGTACACATGGTCAAGACTGAATTGATGTGTAATATCCATATATTAATGCTGGGGAAACTACGCTTGAAGCTGTTCAAGACTTTCATCATCATCGTCATTATTATTTTAGGTACTGTAGTCCTTCACAAATCCACTGTTGATCATGTAACTATTTGTCCTATATAAGCCTAACTTTGACCGAGAGGTCAATCTGATGTAACCAACTCGGCCAGGTCATCATCATTACATCACTTCACAAGTCCACTACTGAACATAGGCCTCCCCCAGGGAATATTACAAAGCACGGTCCTGAGATACCTGCGTCCATTGACTTCTTGCATGTCTTACCAGGTCTTCACTCCATCTAGTAGGGTGTCGACCTGCACTACGCCTACCGGTACAATGCTGCCACTCAAGAACCTTTTTTCACCATCAGTTGGTTCTTTGAGCTATATGGCCGTCCCATTGCCACTTCAGCTTATCTTTTGGGCTATGTCGTTAACTCTGGTTCTACAGCAGATATCCTCATTTCTAAGTTTTATCATGCAGAGAAACCCCGAGCATAGCACTCTCCATAGCTAGCTGAGCGACCTTGAGCGTCCTCATACGGCCAGCAGCGAAGGACCACGTCTCGGATACATGTCATCACTGGCAACAAGCATTGGTTGTACAATCTAGTTGTCAGGTTTTGAGGTATACCTCACGGGAAGATGTGTCGTAATTTCCCGAACGCTGCCCAGCCGAGCTGAATCCGTAGATTAACCTCTTGGTCGAAGTTGGACTTACCTAGTCGGACTGCCCCAGGTAAACATACTTGTCAACAACTTCGAACTTAGTGCTACCGGCGTAGGTGTGACATAGACATTACACATGATCTTTGTTTTGTCCATGTTCATCTTAAGGCCTATCCGTTGAGTCATTAAGCATATTGCTTAGGTTCGCCAGCAATTCTGCCATAAGGACTATATCGGTGGCAAATCAAAGGTGAGTGATGTACTCGCCATTGATATTAATAACTTATCCTTCCTGTTCAGTAGCTTGAAAACATCTTACAATGCAGCGGTGAAGTTTCGGGGATGTAACGTCACCCTGTCTTACACCTCTTTGCAGTTGGATAGGTTTTGTACTCTGGTTCTGTACTCGGATAGCCATCGTAGCCCTATTGTACAAACATATCGCAATAAAGCGATTTGTAAGTACGTTAAATCTGCCACACTTTAGGTTTCATAACATCCCTTAATTGAACTGCTTGATAATGAATTAATGTATACCATGATTATAACGAATGTAATTTATTTTAGTACTGTAGAATAGGTACATTGCAAAATACTATATTAGGTCGAGGGAACTTAATATTATTTTTATTTAATACTGTTTACTTACCTACATAAATGCTTAAATTATTTTCAATTTGCGTGTTTCCTCATGTAAACTGATGGAGGAAGATGATGGGATACAGGGTTTTTTTCCTAAAAAGTTAATTAACTATCTTTAAAACATTAATTAATACAAAAGAGGTACTACTGTACAAAGAATTCAGCACTTAGATATACCGACAGCCAACTTGGCACCACTGAAGGGACTGTATAAATTTCGACGGAGTCAAAGTGCTGAACACCAGACATACGCAAGGCAAAGTGGCGGATTGTACTCTTCGGTGTTCTGTACAATCTGCCGCAGGGTATGTATGTGGTCTATGGTACTGAAGAAGCCTTTTCGGAAACCGTCTTGTTCGGGAGGCTGGAAGTCGTCAAGTTTGCGTGCGAAAAGATTCGTAATGACTCGAAAACAGCACGTGGACGCGTCTCAGAAGGAAATCGGTCAGTAGTTCTGCAAGAGAGTGTTGTCACTTTTCTTGAAGAACGAGACCACCGCACTTCTGCTCCATGCCTCCGGAGTAGTGCCACCATGAAGGACTGTATTAAAGAGCTTCTGAAGGACTTTGAGTACCGGTTTTCCACCCTCTATCAGAAACTCTGCTGTAATTCTATTCTCGCCTGGGGCCTTGCGGTTTTTAATATATCATCATCGGAATAGTGCCGGATAAGACTTGCTCTTGGATCGTTACTCACACTTGCGTGTGGCTCCAAATGATGTGTATAGCTGCTCATAGAACCTCTCAATCTCACTCAAAATCTCAGGTGTCCTGGAAATGATGTTGTCACACTCATTCTTCAGCTTTGACAGTTGGCTCTTTCCGGCAGACAGTACTATGGCAAAGACTGGAGCCCTGGTTCCGCTCGATCGCTTCTTCAATATGAGCAGTATTAAAGTTGCGTAAGTCCCACCGCATGCATTTGGATATATTTTTGTTCAGTTGCCTGTATGCTGTCAAATCTGTTGAAGACTGCAGCTTCATTTCCCGTCTAACAGCCATGAGATTAAGAGTATGAACGGAGACTTTTTATGTTCTTCTTCTTGCAAAACTTATCTCCGACCGCATGGACAAATTCCAAGAGCTTCATATCGTCCACTGCATTGCAGTCTTCTAGGCACTGAAAACAGTTTTGTAAATCAAGCTAAAAGGTTTCGGGGCTTTGGATTAGAGCACAAGGGGGACGGAGCGTTGACTTCATTAGACGAGACCTCTCCAACTTAACGTTTAGGTTCAGTGTGTCTCTAACCATTCGGTGATTGCTGCCAGTTTTCACCCTTGCGATCACTGAGACATCACTGAACAGTTGTCAGCCTTCTAGTCGTAATAATGAAGTTAATCTCATTTTTTGACCAGGTCCACTTTCTTTGGGGCCGCTTCTGGAAGAAAGAATTCATAATAGAGTCCCTGTTTCTCCATGAAGTCGGTCAGCTGTTGGATCCTTGGGTTCCGTTACCCCATCCCAAATTTCCCTACTTTCAGCTCACCGTTCTTTCTTGTGCCTAGTTTTGCGTTGAAGTCTCCCATTAACACCGTATATTGGATTTTGTAGGAATGCATGGCTCTAGAAATATCCTCATACATTTCCTCCACCTCCTCAATGGGATGTGCTGAGGTTGGTGCGTACCTGTGTGACCTTCATCGAATACCGTTTGGTAATTCTGAGCATAAGGTACGCAACCCTCGTCGATACACTCCCAAATTTTACAACGTTGTTAACGAGACTTGTGGACGATAAATCCGACACCTCCTTGGGACAGATGGTCGCCCTACCGGTTATAAAACAAGTTGCCGGATTCGAGAATCACTTTATCCTCCCCCTCTCTTCGGACCTCGTATAATCATATAGTTACTAGTATCCTAATCCCACGGATATATTTATTTACTTCGGATAATCATATATTCGTCGCAGTCATTAACTTAATTAGCCGTTCAATCAACAGCCTAGCCTCTTTAATCTATAACGCCGTTTAACTCGCGGCCTGAATCATACTCTGGCTGAGTATGATTCAGGCCGCGAGTTAAACGGCGCGGCGTTTCATCAAACAGCTAGCAAGCAAATACAGCAAATGACTTGAATCGATGACGTTTCATTACTTGCCTAGTTACTGTTACTGTTAATTTCAATTTAGTTCAACTTTCTGCTACCTAGCGCTGAAATTCTCCAAACTATCAATATGGCGTCGGCAAACAACAAATTTGATGGTGTTTTCTAAAGTTTAATGAAAAATAGTACAAGCTGTCGCAGCCCACTAGCTTAATTAAAATTTCATTTTAGCCTTTTTATGTTTAACTAGGGGCCTGAATAATATTCAGCCGCTGCGTCTAATACATTGCAACTATCTTGTAATATCAGCGACCGGGTGCGGCAAAGCCACGTATATTTATATAATACAGCGCATAGTGTATGAGTAGGCATGAAATGTTGTATTAGACGCATCGGCTTAAACGCATGGGCTGAATATAATTCAGGGCGCTAGTTGAACGGCGCTGTTTCACCCTATCATACGAGTGGCCTAAGCATTGACCAGCCAGTTTATTAAATGTTGGTAACAAACACTACGGCTGAATATCATTTAGGCAGCTGGTTATACGGCGCCGTTTAGTTAAAAGGCTAGGCTGTTTATGAGCTATTTGGCTGTGACATATCCGTGTTCGAAAAATGTATGATTCTTTTTTTTAAACGTTACCTCCGTTGTGAAATGTATGTTTGTAAACTGCCTCCACGATACAGGAGAAAATCCTAGTGGAGATACCGCCTTTTAAAAAAAGAAAGAAACAAAAAATGATAATATATTTCCATGAATTTTGGTATGGAAATTTTCCATTAACAAATAACCCAAGATATGTTTATTCTAAAAAAGAGTAACATTTAAACTGGCAATTTTTAGTAATGGGAAAACCTAAGTTTATTTGGTTCAGTACTGGGAGAATGTAAAAATATTCATCATCAGTATCAATAAAATCTTTAGTAAGTGGAAAAATAAAATCATGATTTTAAGCAATTTTTATGTTTTATTATGGTATAATAAAGAATTTTCCAAGTGTAGCCTGTTGACAATAATCTTGCTTAGATAAAACAGGATTTACAGTTAACTGTAGCGATAAAGCTCATATCTTATTATAATTATTAACCGAGCAAGACTGAATGGTAAGAAGGTATAACAAAAAATATTATTA